GCATAGCTTAAGCTTTAGCTTGGAAAGGGGTGTATTTTTGCTCTTGAACGTTGTGCTGCTGAGGTTTTCCTCCAAGCAGTGTGGACACACTAGGAATTCTTACGGCAATAGTTGAGCACCGGTGTCTGATCGCGGCGAATTCGCTGCTATTTACAGCACGCACATTCATGCCTCTCGAAATGCTCGAAGTGCATTTCGACTGCGCACGCTCGCAGAATCTGAGTGGGCGCGGTGGGTGCTTGTCGCAACTGCGCTCTCGTTGTGGCGCCGTGCACATTTTCGGGCATGGTGGCCACTTTTCGTGACAGAACCTCGTGCTTTGCTGGTGCAAGGTTGATTTTTCGTGACGGGCGCAAGGGATCGGAGTGGTTTTACTTCGAAAAGCAGATTTCGTGGCAGGCGCAGCACTTTGGACATGGTAGTGATCTTCGACGCGCTCTAATTTCGTGACAGGTGCAGTGAATCGTGACTTTTGGACATGTGGGTCGTTTTCAGAAATTGGAGAACGTCTCGCGCAAAAGCTGCGTTTTGGTATCTTGATGTTGTCTTTGGAAGCTCTCTTGCGGCAAAACGCCTTGTCAGAACTGTCGCATGTGAATCTTGAAGTGCAGATTTCGTGGCAGGCACAGCACTTTGCCACTCTCACTCTCACTCACGCTCTCACACACTCTCACTCTCGACACTCTCACTTACTCTCACACTCTCTCACTCTCACTCACACTCACACTCACTCTCACTCACACACACACACACTCACTCTCTCACTCTCACTCACCATTCACACTCACTCTCACTCACTCACCACCATCACCACGATCCCCACCTTCATGACCACCATCACCTCTCTGGACCCAACTTCTCTGGATCTCTAGATATTCTGCTGCTACACCTCTAGACCTCACACGCACACTTGGGGTCTCTTGCCGGGATCTTTAAAAACGGACGAAGAATCAGCAAGCCATCGGTGATGTCGGTTTTTCTGCCCGAGTGAGACTGCATTATTGACATCCTGTCGGCTTGCCCCTGTGGAGACCGACCGAGACAGACAGACCATCGGGTGGTACCAGATATCCATCGGGTTGCCCAAAACTGCTGCTTCCCTAGCCAAGACTACTAGTTACTGGCACCCCAACTGCTGCTAAACTAACCCAGATGTTCCTCCTAAACTCAATCTTTCTTACTTGCACCTCCCCCTCGTCACTCGTTGTTTCCATGACCGTTTTTCCTCACGGTACACTTCTTCTGACGCTTTGAGCCCTGCAACTGTCTTTCGCGGCTCAGAGAGCACAAGTATCCGTGCGGGCGGCTTCGACCGCGAAGCAGTGTGAATAATACTGCTAACAATATTGCTCTTCCAAAGCACACACACATAAACAAAATATAACAGTAATCAAGAATAACAATGTCATTGCGACAGCTGTCAAAGGAACATCCGAGAAAAACGTCCCCGTTTTTGGGGGAGATTTGGGTCCAGGCCACCACTTGTGGACCGGGCCACAGGGGTCCCCCGCCTTTGCATATATATATTTGTATACACCTCCATCAAACCCTCGAAACCCTCCCGTTTCAGCCACTATAAAGACCGCATCTGGGTGACCCGGCAAGTCATCGAAGCCTCGAAGCCACCTGAAGCGGGACACCGTGTGGTTCCAATGCTGGGACATCCAAAACGGGCCACCGGAAGTTGCCAAACGCCCAAACACACCCAAACACGCGCGCAAAAAAGACGATGTTCGTGCCTGCAAACGTAATGAGTGTGCCTTCGTGTCTACAACTGATGCCCAGATGCTCATGCGAGCGGTTTTGTACGAGTGCTGTCGCTCGTCCCGACTCGAAGTCGGGGCTGTTGCTGTCAGTCCCAACACCGAGAACAAAACAGCCAGGCAAGGCTGGTTGCAGTTGCAGAAACCCAAGAAGCCCAAGGCACCTGCAAAAGGTGCTTCCTATAGTCTATAGTATATGTATATATATATATATGATCTGTGTATTTTCAATTCGTTTAACGAGTTCAATTGAGTTTTGCCTCACAAACTCACCCATGCCCAGTTTTTCTCTTTCCACCCGGAAAGGAAGTGAAAAGGCCACACTCCGCCTTCGATGAATTTCTCCATCCCTGGCATGACCTGACGGTGCAGGCGCTGACCGCGCTGACGCTTTCCGCGCCCAACGTGCCACTCATTTCGACGAGACGGAGCTTTTTGGCTTGAAAGCGAGTTGTTTTGACCATCTCATGTGGAGAATATCAAGTTATATATATAGTACTTATGAGGTCCCTATAGGTCCCTATCTCGTAGAAAGAAGATCATACATCCCGCTGAGGGGGTTTTCTGTGTTTTTGCACAATTCTGAAGCCATTATAGCGTCTCTCCAACCAAGGATGCTCGTTAGAGGTTCGGTCGTATACGCTGAGTTGAAGTCGTGAAGACCACGTGAAACGCCATCCGTCATGGCAGCAGGTGCAGGCCCCCTCAGGCACCGGGGAGCGACCATGCGGCGGTGTGACACCCGAGCCTTGTAAACATCCGGTATTGCCTTGTATGTATGTATGGCCAAGCCCGCTTAGGTCTGGCGCCGTCGAAAGATGTCAAAGGCTCAGTTGCATCCTTCCCAGATCGGACGAACTTGAACGCCGTTCCTTGCGAAACCCGAAAAAAGGCTTTCAAACCACTCCGATGCAACACACCCCAGGCCGCCCAAAAGCCGCCTTCGACTCTGGGTGGAAGGAAGCGGCCTGGGCAGATACTTCTTTCATTGATCCACCAGCACCATTTCCAGAAAATAAACCCCTTTCCATCATTCAAAACGCCCACCACTGCGAACAAAGAAGCTGCTTGGATCCAGGTGTGGACCCCCAGCGCTCGCGAACCAAACGCGCACGCGAGTCGGGTCAAAAGGCACGCGAAAGCCGTAAGATTCAGGAATTCTTGATATGTCTTGCGTGCCGCCTCTTGCTCTTCTAGAAAGACGTAGATGTAGAGAGATAGTTATTGATTCCAAATTCGGGTTTTTGGATGTTTTAGGATGTTTAAAACATAACACGCTGAAACGTTGCAAACGCGCTGGTCGCACGTTTGTATTCATTGCGGATGCTACGAGTAGAACAGAGCTGCTAGACTTAGAGGAAGAGGGAAGAGGCTGTGAGAACTCGGTTTTGGGCGAAGCTTCCAGTGCTGTCTGCTCCATGCTGCCTCTAAGTTTCCATAGCTTTTGGCACACCAGTCTGCGGGAGTCCATGTACAGAGCATGCAGCATGCCGTCATGGTCCAAACTCCTTGCAGTGGATTGTCATCCAATCTTTCTCTTCATGCCGATCGTTTCCACATGTGCCCAACCCCGAGTTCCGCTCGAACCGCCACGGTTCCGGGAGGTTTCTCACGGTTCAGCGTCCCATCCTCTCCCATTCGACGCTCTCTCAGTCTCTTGGTCATCGCCTGTGGACTGATTGATGTGGATGTCCCGACAAGATCCTGCCGCGTCAGAAAACCACGAAGAACACAACGGCATTCCGTCAGAGCCTGAGCCTTGGCCAAAACCACAAGCTTTCTCAACACAAACGGCACGTCTCACCTTCTGGGACACTTTGTCCTCAAACCTGGCGCGCCATAGCGGGGAGCGTGTGAGTGTTTTGTCTTCGTGCAGCCGGAGATGAAGATCCCATGCACCAAAGGGAGCACTCCTTTTGCTATATACGAGCTATAGGCTAATCAATCAAAGAGTTAATGTGCGAACAACTGACTCTCTTCTGGAGCAGTCTAGCAGCCCCAAAATGGGCAGAATGTGGAGGATGGACGGAAAACCGCCTGGATCGAGGCTGTCTACACCCAAAGGCAACGGTCTGAGTTGCTCCTTGACCAGAGGGTGTGGGAGCCTAGTGATTAAAGGAGAGAAAGGGAAGAGAAAGGAGTTGGAAGGCGAAACTGATTGAGGAAATTCATTGGTGTCCAACTCCTATGACCATCCCAGAATAAAAACTGGTATACGAAGTTCGACAGCACCAACCCTTCAGTTGCAACCCCTGGAAAGTCTGTAGTCGGAACTTCAGCACCATGACCATTGCAGCGCCAAGCTACAAGCTGTAGCGAAGGATGACAAAGAGCGGCAGTGCCGTCAACAAAGCCTGAAACCGGAGCGTAGCAGAGCTAGGAGCTACACTATTAAGGGCTACTGGGATCAACTGTCCAGATCCTGCTTCATTTTGTTTCAACATGAGCCACATCTTTGCAAGGACATCCAAGCTTCTGATGATTTGCATCCATACTCGCAAAATCTGACAAACATTCATCCATGACTCTTTCCAATAGGATGTGTCCACAACAGGACGTGGCAGTGTGTCCACCTCCACGTGGTGGATATTCACAGACCATGTTTTCGTCCAATATTCATCGAATCAGGTCGACCTGCCTGTGGCTGCATTGCGATGATGCCGCACGGCCCTCGTCCCTCCGATCTACCTGTTTCCACAGACCTCTGCCGCTGTGAGTATTACGCCACGGATATCATGTATAAAGGGATGCAAAAGGTGTTTTTCGCTTCGGCGGGACAACATCGTGAACCCGATAGAGGATCTATGCTTCCTCCCTGTACCAAAAGGACGAAGATCATGGATCGAACCTGGTGGTGGATGGTCTCCGTCCGCACATCTTCATTTACAAGCTATTTGGATCGTACAGCATCCAAGCAAGTAGAATCTGTTGCGAGGTCTTTCGGTCCAACATACCTGAACAGCACCTAAACAGCACCTGTTGGTAAACAAATGTGGTTGCAGCGTTACTGTATAATATGTGGCTGGCACAATGCCAATGCTGCCGGCCTAAACCATGCTTCACAACTTACCTTTTTTCATCCTTCCTGTGCCCTTCGGGGCATGTTTTTCGCTTCCCGGTCGCATATGGTCATTGGTGGTGACATAATGGACAGGACGCCATCAATCCATCTGGCGTCTGCACCAGTTGACTCTGCTTTGAGTGAGACACGTCAAACACCCATAAAAAACACAAACTCCCTGACAGTGTTGTCAAAAGATGTTGAAAGAGATGCTTGCGCAAAGCGAGGCTAAGCCAAATCATTCTCAGAAATCACCGAACAAAGCCATTAGGACAGGCTATCAGTGTCATCAGGCTACAGACTCAAACACGTCTCTGGTGCATCTCTTCGCACGCGCTGCTTCTTAGCAGAGCAAGCTAAGAAGCACGGCCACAATGTCACGATCTCTCCTGCAGGTTGGCCCGATGCTTGCTCTTGAACATGCAAGTGCTTGGGTTCTTCAAGTGGTTGGGTGTTGGAACCTCCAGTCCCAAGCAAGCAAACGGAGCAAGCAAACGGCAGTGAGGGTGCCATCAAGCACGGATTTATGGTTTCTCTTGTTGGAGCTTTCTGGTGCGTGCTTTTGGTTGATGAGGACATGAGAGAAACAGTAGACATGTCCTTCCCAAGTCCAGACCTCGAAGAAACTCAGAAACTTCGAAAAAGATCCAAATATTATTATCATATATTGCATATTGGAAGACTTGGCACACAGTCTACCTGTGTCGCCAAGAAACTGACTGACACAAATTAAGAATGTCCTTGGAACGGAAAATGAAGATTGAAGAAACAAATGACCCCTACCTGTTGGTCTTTCTTTCTCGGGCTTGTGCAATCACCTCCCATCATCCTCTCCTCTCCCCTCCTCTCCCCACACCAAGAGAGAGGGGCTCCTTCCTGGCCCCGCAGGTTCTTCGCTCCTCTAGGGTGCAAAGTAGGGATTGTCACCGATCGCCTGCAGGATCGGCAGTTCCAGCCCACCGATGCCATCCATGGGACCATCATGGGATGATAGTAGAAGAGAATGGTGCCAGCTACCTTGTAAACCCGGCAGCCTTCGGTTCGACCATTTTTTTATCGATGGGTTATACTATATGGTGGCGTATACGTGCAAACATCCTTAGTAACATAATGGTTCTTTGGTGAAGACCATTCAAACTATAGTCAATCGAATCCTCAGGTAAAGCATGGTAAAGCTATATATCAATTGCATGCTTCTTTTTGGAACCATCATTTGCTTCTGGTTGGGGCTGGGTTTCCAGGCTGAAATCAAGAACTCTCCAACTGATCGGTCAATAGGTCAGTCGCATGGATGGTCTGGGAGAACATCATACTTATCATACCTATCAAAGGTGTCTCTCTCCCAAAGAAGAGGAACAAGAAGCTACTAGGGGCTCCTGGCATCGCTACGAACGGAGCGTTCGGAAGCTACGAACGGGGCTCCTGGCCGTACTACTATAGGAACAAGGACGCTTCTATCAACAAAGTCCGTCACTTCGCTCCATTTCACCTCCGCACATCCCCATCCAAAACCGCTGGACAGGTCCGCCTTGAGCATGGCTTGGGCAGCTTCAGCACCGGCATTCCGATGCTTTCGCACGTCAGCCTGGCCGTTTTCTTCGGTGCATCCCGAGCGTGATCGCTCGATGCAAAGCGGAGATGGAGATGGAGGACACACGCGACACGACGTGAGAAAGAAATCCAAAGAACCTATGGCCCAGTGGTTCTTTCAGCTTGGGATAGAACACTAATTATAGCCTACAATGCCATTATTCATGGTCGTGGTAAAGTTCCTCCGGTATAGCTGTGTCGAGTCTGACACACCACAGTTGAAGTGTTTTGTCCAGTGACAGCATTGGCAAATCTTCAGCCACAAGTCACTGGATGTCACTGACCAACCGGTGATGTTTTGTTACCGCTGTGCGGTTGCTGCTTTATGGTGTTGCGGTTGTGGCTAGTGCTGGTCCGTCTTCACTGCTTCACTGTGCTGGTGTTGTGCTGCTTTTCCCAGTCCAAACAGGCCAGGCTTGCCCTTTCCTTCTCGATATTTCGTAGAGAGCTAAAGTTGTTTATCCTGTTTCGTAGAGAGGTGGCCGTGAGAACACATGCGGAGAAGACATGTTCGGCGATGATCTCGCAAAAAGTGAGGAACACGAACGTGTCTTCTTTCTCCACAAAAAAAAAAAACAAGCACATCAATCGGCCGGTTTTATCAGGTTCTTCTTTTTTGAGAACAACACACCTCAAACAACTATATACTTGGTTTGTCAGGCGTTCTCTTTTTCGAGAAGAAACGACAACACCTTGGACTTCTCTCTTCACATGGCCAAGTTGAACCCCCCCTTCGGGTGGGCGAATGGACCAGACTTCCCACAAAATCACTCCTGCAGCGAGACTAGTCCAGCTGCACTAGAGCGCGCGAGCGCGCGGCTAGGTTTCAGCCCTGGGTGGACTTGACCTATCCCTTCTCTTTGAGCAAGACGTGTGTCTCACCAATGGGAGACCGACCGCCAGGCGGCCGTTGGTTTGCTGGGATCGGTGGCTGCACATAGACTCAGACTCGAACGAACCAAAGGCATTGGCCGGGTGTCTACCTATTCCTCCAGATTCTGTCCCCACAAGCAGGTGCACCGTCCAAGTTCACCATGAAAGACACAGTCCTTTTCTTCTTCTTCGGTCCGTCTTCATCATCGCTGTCACTATCCCTGCGAAGACAAGATGACATTCTATGGCCACGTACCATTTCGGGGGGTAGATATTTGAGATGACATATGTATACATACCGCATGTGCTTTATAGAGAGAGGCCAGTGTGGCACATGGTGCTCATCTCCTCAGCCTGTGGTGCCTGAGTGAGGGGACCGGAGATGTTTTTGGCAAATGACGGCGACGGGACAGATGCCAATAAGTGCATCATCAAATAGACTCTTGGACTTGAACAAAATATTTGGCACGATCAACAAAAAAGACCATAATGGCATATCCAATGTCAACCGAATCAACCGGCAACTGGAAGTCATTGTTAATTATATATCTAAATCAAAAATCGATCTATATATATGCTTAATTGTAGTTAAACATTGTGTCTGTATATCCCATTACCAGTCACAGTGGATGATGATGGTTAGTAAAGTCGACATCTCAAAAATAGTGATCTTCTTTCACCGACTGTTACTAGGTGAACCTGGGCTACACCCTAGTTGAACAATGACAAATACATAGAACAAGGCCTCTGAAAGTTTGATGGCGATCCAAGGCTGGACAAACTGAAGGAACTAATGCAGCTAGGCTTCGAAGACGATGAGCTTTTGGCTTTCTTCTTCTTCTTCTTGTCCTTCTTTGGTTTTTCTGCTGCCTGCCATTTCCCCAAAAAAAACGTGCTATACAGGACATATGAGGTGCGAGTAGTGGATCTACCAAGCTGAGGGTCGTCCAGGGTCACGCCCAGCCAGGCATGTGTGGAAAATGTGGTCGCACACCGCGGACCAACCCAAAAGGCATCACAGGGCACAAACAGAACCAAAGCATGTTGTGGTTCTGCCTTCTGAATCAGTCGCTTAATTTTTCGGATGCACATATTATATACATATATATACTTGAAGATCTCACTATAGTACGTCAACTACGTAAGTGACTGGATCTGCCAAACAATGATTTGGATTCGAGGGGTGCCACGGCGGGTGGGCACCTGTGGCATGGCAGCTGGCGCAACAGGTGGGATGATGGGCTTCACCTTGGATTTGCTCAGAGCAAAACGCCACAGTAACAGTTCTTGTATGGTAGGAGGACCTTCCCAGCGACCTAGAGTGAGATCCCGGAATGAGACCGTCACTTGCAAATCTTGAACAGGTCACTAAGAAGGTCCTGGTAATGCAAGAATATACAGTGCTTTTAGAGTAAATAGCACAATCCCCACGTCGGTGATATATATATGTGGAGCATCCTAGGTTACCACTGTCATCCTGGGTCGCAATCCACTATATCCTGTTATTTTCAAAAAATCACCTGATCTGCCAAACCAAGTCACCGGTGGTGTCGGTGTGGTCTTTTGCGCGGTCGCCGCCTGGCAAGGTTGCAGGCAGGTCTGCCAGGCGGGATGGCGGAAATGCATCCAACACGGAGAAAAAAAGTAACGCTGGGTATGCGTCTGGAAACAGAATGTCATGAAAAGGACATTCGAAAAAAGAATGAATACATATGAATACGTATACTGGACATTACTGGACAATGGTCAAATATGGTCAAATCATGTTGCATACCATTTGTCCCATAGTGACCTTCATTGTATACCAGGCATGGACTATGAAATCACGTTCGTTTGTCGCGTGTGTCGTGTTTCATCCTGCATCTTCGGCGTTGCAGAAGCAAACCGAACGAGGTTCGAACCATAGTCAGACCATTCAAGAAGCAAAAGCGATGCGTGTATCTTCGTGTCCAAAAATGAAAGGATCCTCAATGATGAAAGGATGCTATAGCTTGGAGGCCGGTGGGCGTCTGTAGCTTGGAGGCCATCGCTCTTAGGCTTCGAGGCCATCCCATTCGTAGGATCCAGTGACCTGAAACCAATGACCAATGCTCCGCAACTCCATCGCAACCCGTTCAGTACTTGGAGCTGATTCTTCGACAGTTCTTGAGAGACCGACGTGGAAACGTGGAGTGTGCGTTCGGGGATGATTGAATTTCTTAAAACTGACAGAGCGAGGAAGCCATCTAGCCAATTCGAGCCATGTAGTCTATTCACCGATGAGGAGTTCAGGACACAGGCACCCCCAGTTCTTTTCAAGCCACCAATATTTACGTGAACCACGTCAGGATATATGTCTGTTCCTTTTTGTGTTCCAGTATGTTCGTTCATCACACCCCGTGCGGTTTCGACCTGGCCTTGTTCTTTTCGTTGTCGGAGTCTGAGTCGATGACCATCAAGGTCTGGTCAACAAGATCTTCCACATCCCCCCTCAATCTCTGTGACAATGTCTGTGCTTGGTTTCGAAAAAAGGTGACCAAAAAAAGGGAAATGCCTTACAATGCCTTACATGTAGATTGATGATAGATCATCATAGATCCGAACAAAAGAGGTTGCAGGATTCGAAGCCATGGGTAAAATGGGACTTCGTCGCCACGTTTTCAGATTTCGGCCTGGCAGTGGGGAGATGACATGACAGTCAAGCAGCTGATGATTATGTGCAGCACGATTCCAACATATTCCAAAATAGACCATCTATAAGTAAGTTCCATGTACCAACTATACGAGTGCTTTCGTCACCAGTGAGCTTACCGCGTCATCACACATCACGAAAGGAACTGACCACCGAACCCCACCGATGTCCGCCCCGGCAGGCCGGAGACCCTCTGCTTCGGACGCCACCTCGCCGGACCGTCCAGGTGAATGGACTGGGCTCGGACACCACACACCTCTCCCGACCCGACTGGCTCGTCTGCCTGTGGCTTCTCATCGCCTGGCGAGAAGAAGAAGAAAAAGCGGGTGGCACTGTGGGTGCCATAAGGCAGAGCTAGAGGGAGAAACAGGTCTGACTTGTTGGCTCCTGGCCCACCTCCTGACAAGATTGTTGGGGTTGGGGGGTGTTGAACCACGTTCTGAGGAGATGGTTGGAGCCTTAGGGTGATGACAGGTGAATACAGAGTCGTTCTTGGGGTGATCGCTCTCCCCATGTGAAGACCATGTATGGCCCAACGATGTTCAACGGTGGTACAGGTGACAATGTCGTGTAGTGTTTCGAAACGTGGTTGAAGATGGTTGAATGGTTTTGTTTTATGTTGTCTTCACCTTTTGATGTAGACTCTTGATGTAGACTCTTGATTGATATAAACCTCCGGTCATGTGGACTCCCTGAAGCCATCATGCTTACATGGCATGGCGCAAGACTCAGATGGACCATGTGAAACTACCCAAGAGGTGGTTCCTGGGGTTGAACCGAACGAAAACATGTGATGTGTTCCTGGGGATGTGAGAGATACTGCCAACATCTACACCAGTCACCGCACGAGATACTGCTGCTAGGGGGGTTCTTCATTCATGCCATGTGGCCAACGAAAGTCTGCTTTCAGGGCCATTTCCAGAATATTGATTCAGGATGTTTCAGGTCAAATGTTGTTCACCTGTTCACCTGTCAATGTCGCCGCAACCCCGCAACCCCTTCTTCTCTTGGACCCTACAACCACTTCTTCTCTCGCAGCCACGTCGTCTCCCGTCTCACACACCGTCTCCCGTCCAGCTGCGCTTGCTGCGCGCGCCTGGTTTGGCATCATCGCTCGGCTTACTGACCTCAGATCTCCGAGACCGTACTCCGTGAGAACTCCGTGTGGTCCTCATCTTTTTGTTGATCTTAACCAGTCAAAGCAACGATGAGACCCGTTTATTCACGCCACTTTTGTTTTTTCAACACTTGGGGGTCAAATTGTTCACACTCCTTTACAAACACGGAAGACTCTGAAAACACATGTTGCAGTCCATGGGCACAGTGTGGTCACCGTTTTTTTTGTAGGGATGACCTGCTCACCAACACAGGGTGCCCCTTTTCCATGGTGAGAGCCGGATGAATGGAACACGTTCTTCGTCTCAGTCCGTTGGCCGAAATAGATCGAATAGATCCGTCCATAGATCCGTCCAAGGTCCAAAGTGGTCCAAGACTGGTGGAAGATGGAACACATGATTGAACAACTGCAGATCCTAACTTGGTGAAACTCTCTGTCTGGGCCGAGGAGATTCAGATAGTGGCTGTTGCTCCAACATCGATTCGGCAAGGAACATGAACGATCAAGATCAGAGTGGTTTGAACCAGTTCAACACTCCTACGTGATCAGAGTGGTTTGGTCCCTGAATTGAGCAAAGAAAGCTTGACGATCACAGTAGTGCATCCAACTGTTTTGTAAGCTGAGAGCCATTTGCAGCAGCATCGCTTCTGCAGATGTCTTGTCCGTGCCTGCAACCCAACAGCTCGGAAGTGGAAGAAAACACCCGGTGTACTGCCCCGAGTTGAGTGATCAGTCAGACCGGTCGACGTCTGAAAGACCAGTCTGTAAAACGTCCAGCGAACGGTGCTGTTGTTTTTTGAATAAGGAGACTTGTGGAAAGATGTGAAACGCATCAAAATGAACTCTCAAGTGTCCCAGCTTGGAAAAGCACCACTCTTCGAAACATGAGCCCCCATAGCCCCCCCGCTTCTTCGCTTCGGCAACAAATCGTGTTAGATCTTGCTAAGACTAAAGTGATTGACTGGAGTATTAAACAACCTTTCTGAGGTAGTATTTTGTCCATCTGCCCATGTTGAGGACAGAATGCTTGTGCTTCGGCGCATATTAGATCTCTGAGTGTCGGACTACCAGAGATGCCCCCCCAAAAAAAAACCTGCATTACATATATCTCATGTTCTGTTTAGACAACACAAAGGGCCCAACAGCTCCGCTGTCTTTCGTCATGTCAGATGGGTCGCGCCTGCATCTGCCTTCGCGGCACTCTCCCCGCTATTCGCCGCGGTGTCCGCCGCAGGCGCGGTGTTCGCCGCGGCATCGGTGCTGACTCCGTTGGTCTCCGCCATGGCCGACGGTGTTGGAGGGAGAAGAAATTAATCAACAAAGCCATCAGCAGCTTGTAACACTGTAGGAGTTCTGGTTCTATATGTTAAGGCTCTTTTAAGCCTCTCCAGGATTGGTCCCCTCTTGAGTCCCTCTTCCATCACTTTTTCGCTCTGGTCTTCCCTCTCTTGAGATGGAGAAGTCATCGCAGTGCAGGAAGAGTGGCATACATGGAGAAAAGCACATATTCATATAGCATGCGAGTCTGTGGTGCGTGGTGCCGCATGAGAGTTGCTGAATGTTGGACATGAGAGTTGCTGATGCGATGCAAATGCGATGCACAGTGGGACCCACTGGATCAAGAATGTGCAACATTTGTAACTCAACCTTTTGGAGCAATGGAATGGGATGCACAGAGAGGTACATACTTCATACAGCTCTGTCATGTGTCATCATGTGTCCATGTCAACCCAAAAATGACGGCTGACCTCCTTCACGAGCCAAAGAAGGTGCAAACGGGCCGAGATAGATGCAATCCCTATGACCGCGGTTCCGCAGGATGAGCGGTCATGGTTTTGGACCGGTTTCAGAAGATGGGGGGCGAAAGGTTCATGAGGACCTCAGGTTTCACGCTAAAAACCTCATTGAGTTGTGATTGTTGGATGACCGGTAGTAAGGCCAGGAGCCCCGTTCGGCTCGCGTCCTTGCTCGTAGTAAGACCAGGAGCCCCGTTCGGCTCGCGTCCTTTAACCTGTCACAGCTCTTTCGGGATGTCCGTTCGATTGACATCGATCCGTCAGTTGGACGAGACCCCTTCAGGTCACAGAGTCACACCCTTCAGTCAACATGGGGAATAATGACACATGAATCTGTCACTTGAGCTTGATGGCTTCAAAATAATTAGACTAATCCATTCGTACCCCAAAAAGGGTGATTCCAGGTGATTCATGATGATTCTGCATTTGATTCAGCTGCACATCCGTGCACATCAGAGGAAGGAGCATCTGACTCCTTTTGCCCACCTTTTCATGTGGTCGACTTCACCCACGCAGGACTGGACACACAAGCCTAAGCACACTGTTCGTTTCTTTGAATCCTGTAGGGAGCCCATGGCAAGAACAACAGGCGGCGTTATTTTGACACATGACGTTGGTTGCCCTTGCCAGCGCCGGCGCATGTTTTCTGAAGACCAACAGCCACATCTGAGCCGAGTTGAGCTCCAAGTGCAGCCCCTGTGCCGAGTTTCGCCATACTGCTTGCCCCTGGTGCCTGCTTGCGATCTTATAAATCCAATCAATTTGCTATGATAGCGCCATGATATCTATTAGTTTGCCTTTCTCTCGGCGTGAAATCACGCCGTGATTTAGTTCCTTTTCTTGTAAGGGACCGTCATCAACAAGTGGATATGTCGTTGATATGCGTGTGATTTCACAGGCCCGGCACAAGGGCAGCGGAGACATCTCTTGAAGCAAACTGGAAGATTCAAACCTCTTCACCATCTTTGACAGGCGCAGCCGTAGTGAAGGGTTTGCGGTATCAATCAGCGTGTCAAACTGTGTCAATCTGTGTCACTGTCCTGAACGGCCTCTTTCCATAGTTGAGAATGGATAGCCACACAACCCCTCCAATGTTTCAATACATGTCAATAACTATGTCAATATGATTCAATACTCCATCTTAGCATCCCTTTTATCCCACATCTCTCGCACACCCCACCACTCACCTCACTGGACCCGGTCGCTCTGCTGTCGGGTCCAAACTCGGTCACTTCACAAGGCGCCGCTCGAAGAGATGATCCGATTTCGGCGCGTGGATCGTCACCTTGTCCTCGCGTGGATCGTCTCAGCGTGTGATTGGGAGGGGGAAGATGGGTGTGAGTGTTCTTCCCGAGTGCGTGCGGAAGGGTTCTCGTTTAAGTCTGGGGGTCTGGGGGTAGAGCCTTGTTCGCGACTCGTTGTCTCAGCTTTCGCAACCGTCCGCAACCGTCCATAACCGTCTGCAACCGTCTGCAACCGTCCGCAACCGTCCGCCGCCGTCCGGAGGAGGACGCTAAGGCCGCTGCCATTGGGGGAAGGTTTTGGAGTCAGTTTGGCCTGAAAGCGTGATGTGTCAGATTCGTGTGAAGTAGCGAGGAAACGTGTGGAAACGTAAGATGTTGAAGTGTGGAGGATGAGTTCACTGCGCAGGCGCAGCGTTTTGTGGGATCGGCAGTTTTCAGCGCAGTCACATTGGGATTGAGCGTTTGGAGAGTGGTGCTTTTGGGGTGTTGGATGTGGCTGCGCCATTGGGATTTGCGTTTCAGGGTGTTGCATCGAAGCTCTGTTTTCGTGACAAGTCTCATCAAACAGCGGCGATTTTGGTGGATGGGAGTGTGTTCAGAATGGGTTGAAATCATTCCAAACGTGTGGTGTGGTGCAAATTTTGTTGAAGCTCACATGATATGATATTGTCACTTTTCGTGGCAGGGGCAGTACTTTGCGCGAGTTTTGAGGTATGGAAGTGCGATTTTCGTGGCAGGCGCAGGGAATGGTGAGGTGATGATGTGTGGCAGATGTCATATTTCGTGGCAGGCGCAGTACTTTGTGCGCGTTAGACGTGTGAAAACAAAAAGTTTCGTGGCAGGCGCAGGCAATCGTGAGGTTGCGAGTTGGTGCATGTCGCCGTGACAATGGGATTGGCGCGTGAGCGGGCGTTTTGTGGGGGGGCTGGAATCGCGAAACTGCTTGGCACGGCTGCTTGATGTGTGTGCTCCGATGGGTGTTTCCGCTTGACTTTTGGAGGAAGTCTCGTACGAAACGCTCGTTTTGGAGACTGGACGCATGACTTTTTGGAGGAGGTCTCGTACGAAACGCTCGTTTTGCAGACTCGAAGCGTGACTGTTGGAGGAAACGCTCGTTTTGGAGGATTGACGCATGAAGTGTGGAGGAGAAAGTTTCGCGCGGACGGATGACTTTCAAGCCATCGCGTGCGAAACTTTGTTGATTGTGTAGGTCTGTGTGGCGGGGAGGCTAGGTGGTAGACAGAGGTTATACCGCAGCCATTTTTGGGCAGACGGCAAAATCTAGGGAAAGCGAGGTGGGGAGCTGAGCATCCAAGCACGTTTGGAATGACTCGTGTTTGCGAAAGACCCATGAGGATTTTTGAATAATTAGTTGATCTAGGAAAGTTCTAGTCACTTCCGTTGTGCGTGTGTATTATATACTTCTTGTTGATGCAGGTGAGATGCAACAACGCACGGTCTTACATTCCTACTTACAAGAAAACCAGACGCCACCGTAGTGGATTTCTCTGTATTATGTGGACGGCTACCATTTTCAAGTGCTTATTTTCGAGATTTTGGGACAATGCCATTGTTTCTTTCGTGATGTGGATCTGCCACAAACTGTACGCCAGTGCCTGATTTGAATGCAAAACGAAGACTCTTCATGAATGCTACGGAGCTTGGTGGTGGAGTCCCCAGCGCATGCTGCCTTGGTGGTGGAGTCCCCAGTGCATGATGTCCCTGGTTCGCTTGCTCATGTGGCTAACCAGTCTAGCATTACCGAGCCGGAGCGTGAAAAAAAAGGATTTGACCAGGTGTGTATGTTCAGCAGTCACATGTCGCACATGCTTATGTACCAGATAGCGTTAACACTTGAACGAGAAGACATCATTCACATGAAAACCATACCACGATGTAACATAGAATACTTAAACTTTGTTTGCTTGTAACTATTCGAACGTGTTTGCATTCAGGTTCATGGGTTCCATCTTGTTTTTTTGTTTGGGAGGGGCATAACGGCATATAGCTGTCATGAGGAGGTCAAATAGAGCACCTAATTATTACTACAGTAAGTGTGTCTGTTTTGGCCACTTGAGTTGAACACCGATGGAGACAATCAACGTGAGCAAAGTCGCTCTTGTGCCATGCAATGGTCAAGACGACCTATTCCTGTGGACATCGTTTGGCCCAAAACGCCCAGATTTCCACTGCCAGTGAGCGTATTTCTGTGGCTTTCAACTGCGAACGCCAGTGAGTAGCTATTGGACACACCTGGAGCTGGGTCTTCATCACGCCTTCGACCAATAGCACAAAAGAACACCCAAATGATCCATCTCATCTCAGTGTTTGCGAGGTTTCGCGGCCGGACCGAGGTCCCTAGGTCCTCCGGTTTCGGGTGGTTCGTGGACACACCTTGACCTCTGGGCTGAAAAAGACCACCCAAAACGGGGTGCCCTGGTAGTGCTTCTGTTGAAACGTGTCTGATTGCCTTCGGTTGCCTTGGCTGGTTGCCTTGCTGAACTTCAGTCCCTCTGCAGTTCGCAGCTTCGACCACGCCACGAGGTGACGCCTGACTGGTCAAACCTCATGTGACCGGGCGCACCTGGATGCCGGGCACGGCACCGGGTCGGTCTCCCTGAGTGGGGAGACCCAGGTTGCCAGGTGCCATGACTCCCCATGGTACCATGACTCATGGTCTGGTGGCCTCCTTCCCAAGTCGGCATCAACGTCTGCCAATCCGTCTCACCTCATCCCCCATCACCTACTCCCCAGATTGGAACCCCAAAACCCCTGGGTTGGTATGAACATGGTCTTCCGCCGTGTCAATTTTCAGGTTCCAGTTTGCGTGGAAGCGAATATAAACCGATAGAGACGGGAGGTTTCCTCCAGCTTCATCACATCAAGGAACGAAGGCTTTTATCGGAGGCGTTGCTTCGCAAGCTCTCAATGCAAAAAACAACGCCCTCGGCCTGGAGGACTTCAAGCCAGTCGATACGATTCTTGTCTGTGATTCTCGTGCTCAAAAGCCGTGGGTTTGGTGATGTTTTGGTGCAAAGAACTGCGTGTTTGGCACAAAGATATTTGCCCCCGGCGCGGCATCTCCTTGTACTCGCCATGGCAAAGAGGCGGTGGTCCGGCGGCCTCCGCAATGCGTTGCAGGGAAACATGCACAAGCAACAACTATGTCATCGTGAGGGCTCCAAACAAACAAATATAAACAACGCTTAAAACAAATCGAGAGAAGCGCACATCTGTAGAATTGTTACAATAGCTAGTCTAATTTAATGCACAATTGGAAGCTACCACCTCTAATCACTGAAGAAAAAGAAACGGCCTTGAAATCAACCATGCCATGGTCTCCTTCAGGCTCCTCCGACCATTTGCCTCAGGGAAAGAAGCGCCCAAAAGGTGGGCACGGACTGCGTGTTTTTGGAGCGATGAAGAGGTCATCCTCCACGCGTGTTGCATGACTAACGTCAACGGCAGGCGCCTGAGACGTTCTTAGTCCCGGACCTCTTTAAAAGAAAACACACACAATCACACATACTATGTACGATCTATTTTGTCTTGACCGGGGAAAGCCTGCAGCGCTTTGGGGCGCAACGAGTTCCTGTTTGCCATTGACACGAAGCACGAACGACGTCATCAAGAGACGTTGGCAGCGACTTCGCTTCCTCGAGCTCAGGTCGCAACCAGCATGCTGTCCAAGTCGAATGGTCGCACCTGCGCCCAGTTCCGGTGGTGGTCCGTGATTCCCCAGTTCGGGGTCGGCCGCCAATGGACCCCGTTCTTTTTTGGTGAAAAAATGGAGCGTTACAACATAGAAAACACCCAACACAGAGCGAGGGTGCAAGCACCAGCACAAGCACCAGCACTAGCCAATATTGGTTTCAACATGTTTCAACATCCGGAGTATAAAGGAGACGTCCTATCTGGCAATGTTGAAGAACGAGTGGAGATCCGGAGGCCACAGACGACCGGGTAGAGTGTCCACACGCGCTGCCTTTGTAACAGCAATCGAAGATGGCCCAGCCTCGGCTTCCAGACCAGCTCCAAGTTTCTTTCGCAAAACTCATCCGGAGGGTTTCCCCAGACTCACGATGGTCTAGGTTTTCCACCAAAAGTCTGTGCACGTGTCGGAGCGAAGTTTGGGGTCAAGAGAAAGGGCCGGCACTCTTTCTCGCGCCCACCAGTGACATCTGCAAGTTCGCAATGATAGTGGCGCCCAAAGCCCCGAAAGACTGATCTTCAGATCTCCGACAACTTACCCCCAAAGGTCAGCCAACATGAGCACCATTCATATATAGTCATATAGTCAACATCCTGTGTTCGGAGATGATCATAGTGGAGTCTACAGCAAGAGCGGGCAACACAAAGGTCCTATTGTTCTTCAATTCAACACTCCCCCGGCATAATTCATCGTCATCCATATCTCAATTGCACTAAACGTGTGCTGGCAAAACATGTGGTGGTGTTCAACAAAAAAATGGGGTCCTCACACAACTCTTGCAAATCAAACCTCCATCCTCCAGTATGGAGACCCGCCTAGGCCCTCTTGGCCAACGGTAGCAGTGAAGGCAGACCGGGCCAGGTCGCCAGGTCCCAACGATCCAACGAAGAAGCAATCAGCGAACAGCGAACAGGTCGGTCGCAGCGCATGGACCGTGACCATCGGTTCGTTCGCTTTCTTGCCCGTTGACGGCTCCGGGTCGGGTCATACGGCCCGGTAGGAGAGCCCCCGGTTTCCACCGCTTCGGGGGACCCGAAGGACCCGCGAGGCCCGGTTTAGGCGGGAGTCGCGAGGCGAGGGGCAAGGGGGCTCTCTCGTAGCGAACCTGGTTCATGTCTGATTCTTGTCATTCCGGAATATTTCCTGTCTACATAAATCATGAACCGGACCCTGGCTGGGGCCCCACACCCATATCCACCAGGTCATTACACTGAGAATCCATCGGATCCTGACAAACAAGGTCCGCTGCCCCGTGGCGTTCGAGCAACGCAGTTTGCTGGAATGTTCACTGCGAAAAGGGGCGACGGAAGTGGTGTTTTGCTGGTTTTGTCCATGTTCTTCCTGACAGGTTTTTCGAACTCTGCGACGTGACTTCCATTTTTCATCTTCCTTTCTCAAGTTATCATGAGTGGCATGTTCACCAGTCACAAAAATTCACAAAACCCATCTCTCATCATCTGTCCAGGAATTTCAAATGGGCATGGGTCAAGAACCTGCAGCCTGTGAAACACCCCTGGGGGCGGGTGACCTCCTGGCTTAGTACGTTCCTTCTCTTCATTTTCACTGGTCCACAAGGTTCCCCCACCTCCAACTGACCCGAAGCCGCCGAGATCGCGCGAGATCGCCGAGCTCGGGGGACCTTGAAGACCAGGCGGCTGCAGCTGTTTTCCACGACCACGCGCCGCCGCGCCGCCGTTCGCAAGACTTGCACCTTCGGCACCAGCGGGACTGGGGTGTCTCACCGGACCGGTGACCTGGGACGTTTTCGATGGATCGAAGATGATTTGGAATCTTCAACTCAACTGATGAACGATCATGTGAACGTAGATTATTATGTATACATTGCTTAATATAACTTGTAACTGTATTGCTTTGAACGGCCAAAAAGAATCGCCGGCGTCGTGCGGTCGATCCTTAGCTCACTAGTGAGTTGGGTTTTGCTGTCGTCGGCCCTCAAACGTCGCAGCAACAACCTTCCAAGGAACTCAGCATGTTGCAGAGCACCTGTTCATGAACCAGGGATTCCTGAACATGCTTGTGTACCAAATACGGCAGCATATTGCACCATGGTAACGCCTTTGTTTTTGCGGGTGACTTAGTATCTGAAGCGTGAATGGATCTTCTAAATCTCACCGGAAGCATTTTTTCACAATCCTGCATTCCTCCATCCGATCCCTCCAACAATGGCCTTGCCACAGCTACTGCTTCCGCCACCCATTGCCAAGGCTCCATCCTGGCCACTGCGAGTCATTCGCTTCAACTGTATAACGATGGGTGAGTAGAAACAGAGTCACAAGAGATCCGGTGCACATGAAGCTGCGGTGGAGGTTGACATTGTCAAAGAAAAAAGCTATTGAATGGAGTGTAAGTTGGGGTGCAAAGCTTGCGCTGAGGACGTGGGTGAACAAAAGACATCAACCATCAAACCGTATCAGAAGGTCCTGCGGACCTGACAACACATCAGACAATAGCGGCATCAATAGCATCCTGCTACTTTGGACACAAGCAGCGCACCAAGCATGCAAGCCTCATCAGCAACAGGCCAACAGCTTCAGACAAGTCATCATCCTACAATTCAAGAACCTCATGTAAACCGGATTTGGCTATGCCAAACAAACTACTTCATTAAAGGACCAGGTTTCACTGGGTCAGACTGGACCTGTCGGCGCAACCTTCATCACCGTTGCAGCGTCTCAGTGTTGAGAGAGCCTTTTCAGAGCCAAAGACGTTCCACTCATGCATAGATTCAAGAGGATTGGGCAGAATTCGTGGAGGGTGTGTAGCGTGTATGTTGGTACGTCAAAGTGGACATCTCTTAGACATCAACATCCTGAAACATTCTCCATCCGTCTTAAACCAAGAATACCTCGGCTCCGGCTCCCTGCGCGCCAAACGTCGTACTTCCTACATGCGGTGTGCCCGGCTTGCGTGTAACGCACGTGGCAACCGGCACCTCTGCACCTTCTGCCTCAAGGTCGACTTGAGCTTCGCTCATGTAGCCCAATGGAACACCTCCTGGCGTGTAGAAGCTGCCACAAAAGTGCTGACGACCCTGAGAAGAACATAATGATTCTAATTGTGATAGATAGTGATAGTAATGATAACTGATTCAAGAATAACATGTCCAAAAACTAAAGAACCAGTATGATTCTATCACCAGCAGCTTCCGGGCTGAAAAACGCCAGCAGCGGAACACTGATTGTATCTGATTGCGCGGTTTCAACGGAAGCCAAGTGGGACGGAGTTGGAAGCCTCCGGAGTCCGCGCGGACGACGAGTTCGTCGGGATCCAAAGTATCAAACATCGTCGTGATCCCTGTAGTGAACAATAATAGATGATCTATTTAGATGATCTATAAGTCTATAACAATAACATCTATGTACAATATCAAACAACATCAGCAATAGAAGAATGAGGCAACCTGGTGATGGATAGACCCGCATGCTTCGCCCAAACCCAGCAGGCTAGTCTTGGAAGACGACTGCAGGCCTGCAAAGACCTGCAAGTAGTGCAAATCCAGCCAAGCGGGTATGATTCCTTCATCCAGTAACTTGATCTTGACCTCGGGACTAGGCAGGTGGCCCAAGTTGCGAAGCAACCGATCGATCTTGCACAAACCAAAACTGTGACTTCTTCAAGAGCGTGTGTGACATCTGCAGTTAAAATACACCTTGCCTCGCATGGCTCTAAAAGTCAAGTCCACCATCCACATGAGTGCTCACACAGAGTATGTCTCTTGGTATTCTTGGTGTCTTTTTCATCGACCAGGCGCGCTTTGGATGGTCCAAGCGCCTTTTCTGCCGTCACGCCAAGGTGCTGCCTTTCCGATGGCAGAAGAAGTGTGGATCGTTTCCTCCACCATGAACCAAACGTAGCCCTTCTCCACTGGAACCTCTCAGCGAAGGACGTCACCAGTTGGTAGACTCAGGAAGACTCTGTTCAGGGCTAACAGGTTCACAAGTCAGTTCGTCGAAGCCGCGAAAGCACCGAAGCCAGCTCAAAGAAAGCGGTGCAAACCAGAGGCAATGTCACTTTCATGATCCAGCGAACAGCCTGTTCATCTATCACCACTGCCGCATTGCTTCTTTTTTCGTTTCGTTTGCTTCTTTTGGTCATTTTTGGTCTATACCCTTTCTGGATGCGTGTCGCTAAGCGGACGCTCCCGCTCCGGTGTTTCCCGTTGACCCCCTCGGCCTCAGGATCCTCGTGTTTCCTTTCGTTCACATTGGGTCCCAGCCAATCCAGGTCCGTCAGCATAGCCTCGAGGTTTCAGGGCCAGCCGATGCGGTTTTTTGAGCGAGGACACAGCCACACAGCCGGAGATGTTTTCATGAATCGGGACACCTATGATAGGTTGATGATGCCTCATGCACCAACCTTTGAGAGACTATACATATAGATATATAGAGAGAGAGATGTTCTGGAGTCACCCAAGGCACTTGTGGTTCTCATGGCTGCTTCCAGTGGTGAAAGACTTCCCCATCAAGTCTTTTGCCGTTTCCATCATTTTCTTGGGCCCCTCACATAAAACTTGAAGCCTTTGCGCTGATTGCCCTGCAGCGCCATGGACTGGTCTGGCCTGCAGCGCACCAGATTTGGCCAAGTTCATCTGGCTCAAAAACACAAGTTTTCTGCTTCCAATCCATGACCAAACCAATAAAAGGCTTGACCAGACCAACAAAACAGGACCCACAATTATATATATATATATGTGTAGGCATAAAATCAAACGCCAGAAGTACGCCAGGGTGATAGAAGCTCCACATCCAATCAGGAAGTCTCTGTGTTGCCATGAGACAACAGTGCAATTACAACTGGGCTCCACCGCCCTGTAGCTGCGAGGCTTCCATATCCTCGCACGCTGGTGAAGAAGAATGGGCCAAGGCCATCTTGAATTTCCAATGCCGTTGAGGCCTTTGGGTCTTTTGCTACATCATCAAAAAGCAGTTGTTGAATGCCAAGTCTGATGTCGCTAAACACTTCAATTGATGTTGCTTTGCCAACTCTTGACTCTTGATACTCAACAAGGGAGCGACAAACATAAACATTAGTACAATATCTAGTACAATCACGTCACCATAAATGTTACCTTTGTTTGCTCTGGTCGTTTTGCAGGGCTTTGGCCATGTGCAACAACTCGACTTACTGTCCAAGAGTATCGTAACTGTCAACCCGTACTCTCATCTCAAGGGCAGAAGCTCGCTGTTCAGCCCTTTCACTACAAACCTTGGTGACATAAGAAGTGTGCAGGTGCTCACGTTGGTGGTGTTTTCTAGACAAAAAGGCAGCCTTCTCCCTTCTCCCTGCTCCCGGCTCGAGGTCGGTGGGTCATTTCGGGGAACCTTCTACTTTGGACCCAAGTGTAGCTCAATTATTGCTAATTGGTTGTCCTCCTTTTGTTTCACCATCTTACCGGGACCAACCCCTTCGCCTCCGGCTTCTCCTCCGGTTCTTCAAGTAGCAAAAGAAAGAAACGTGAAACGTGAAGTGACCGGACAGGAGGTCATCTGCCCACGTAAGGAAATTGACATATATATATATATATAACAGTGTCATCAGATTGACAGTTCATCAGATATGGATGAATTTGAAGTTTTTTGTTTCTTCAAACTGCGAGGCACTGCGAGGGGTTATGCAATCTCCACTGAAGGTCTACCATAATTCACCACGCGTGAGTATACAAGATGATGCTGTGTTGTCTGCTGAATCCATCACAGAACTCTCGACAAGTTCTCTGCGAAGCCGACACCGGCCAAATCACCGGGAGTCGCAGCATAGTCGCAGCATGAGTGAAATTCGGGAAGAGAAACGATCGTTTTTCCATCTCGCCGTTGAAAAAAACACGTCAAAAAAAAAATCAGATCCCGCAATTGCAACCTTTTCCAGGAGCCCCTAGTAGCGTCTTGTTCCTGCAAAAAGAAAAACACCGTCAAAAAACCACCCACCCATTTTGCCCCCTGCGCGATCTCTGTTGCACCCGATGTATACCGATGGAGGCTCCGGTCCTTCAAGGAGGTTCCAGAGTTTCTCTTGTTCAAAGTAGTGCAGGCCTGAGCAACGCGAATGGTTCGATTCTGTCGGCGAAGGGTTCGACCATTTACGGGTTGTGTTCAGTGTTCAGCGTGAAAAAGCAAGCATTCCAGACTCACTTGCTGTTCCAACTGTACTGCCGTGTGTAGTCAACCACTTGATTCTCAGCAATACTTGATTCACAGCAACCTGAAACACAAGTCACAAAGCCACACACTCACTGATGACCTTCAGCAATGCAAAAAGATCACATCCACCGTAGATCGGCTTCTGACTGGCCAAAATCACAAACATTCACAAACATGGTAGTCATCTCACAAGGGAATGAGTATGTTCCAAACCCAAACAAGCGCCGTGCTGTGAGCCTATCTTCTGTTCAGGACATCCGCTCCTTTGGGCCTATCTGTTGAAGGAAGCATGCCCCAGACACTCCATGTATGAATATATGCCTACATTGACCCAAAAGTGGTATCAACCGACGATCCGATGGAAACAAATGGCAGCCACGTGGACCGTCTTTTCACCACTTGAGCCAAATCCGGTTGCGTAAGGTTTTACCACGGTTCCGAGCCTTTGGTTTCTGGAACTATTCCCTGACATTGGGGAAGCACAGCCTATTGGTCATTGTGAAACCGAACAGCAGGAACATCGAAAGTTTTCTTTGGTGCTCAACCCTGCAACTAGTTCTTCTCATTGACCCCCAAAACCACCGCAATGTAGGCATATATACATGGAGTGTCTGCGTGCCAGGAATCCATGCTTATGATGAATGCCGAAACAGCACGACCGACTGGATTCTCTTCATCCCATCTTAGGTGGTTTTTGAACACGTGTGTGCCGCGTTCTTCCGCTTTCTTTCTTTTCATGGGTGGGATTAAGAAGACTGCTTCACTCCTTTGTTTTGTATGTTTGTTGTCCAAGTCTATGTCTTTTTCGCTGACCTCATTGATGTGCTTGAGGGAAGTATCACTTGAAGCTGCACCCTGATCAGCTGGGACCTATAAACACCCCCACTTGGCGGAGCGGCGGAGCTGAGCTCTCGACCAATGTTGAGCTCATGGTGCCCACCCTGAAGCGCGAGACCCCCCAACGCGCGACAAGTTCGAGGTGGGTGAGTCAGTGATCGTACGTGTTGAGCTTAAGTGGGTGAGTTTATGCATATCCTGGAAAACAGGTGGAGGCCATTGCTATTATAGTGGAGGCCATCGCTATTAGGTTGGAGGACATCGCTACTAGTAGGTCATGGTCCCGTGGTATCGCTTTGTAACCACTTCATCCAGTTTGCAGAACTGCAACTGCTATTCACCTTGTTCGAAGACTGGGTGGGATCTTTATGATCTTTGAGATCTTGAATCAGAACAACAACAACAAGGTACAAACAAAAACTGCAACCCCGTTACACCACATCTTCTTTCTTTTTCTCTACAAGGGGGTAGAAACAAATTCTGCAACCCCGTCGTTGTTTTTTGACCCCCCCCAAAACAACCGGACAACAAGCACTTTACTGCTACTACTACTACTACTACTACTACTACTACTAGTGGTACTAGTGCTACTACTACTAGTGGTAGACACCCCCCACCCCGGGACGTGTGGACAGTGCGCGGGGCGTGTGCGGAGGCGGAGGGGGTGGAAACCCGGTTCTCAATCTATGCACTGAAAATCAGTCTTTTCTTGGAGACTCCTGGAAGTTTTTGGATTCCAATGAAACAATATGGTCGATTTAAACGCCTTCTTAGGGTCTATGAAACTCCTATGAGGGTCATGCTACTGGTGATGCTTATTGTAACTGGTTAAGTAAACCCTGTAAAACTTCTACTTAGAACCTCTACCACATCCTAGAAACAAAAACTGCAACCCCGTGGTTGTTTTTTGGACCCCCCCCCTTCCAAAAGATGTTGTTGTCTCTACCCCCCCTAGGAACAAAATTTGCAACCCCGTTGTTGTTTTTTGAACCCCCCCCAAAAAACAACACAACAAAAAACAAGAAGCAGACCAACCAAGACTTGAGTACCACAACGACAAGAAGTCCAGCTACTAACATCTCTCCAAACCTTCGACCCTATCCCTAACAGAATCCCATTGAAATCCCTGACTTGCAACATGTTACAACTATGTTGGGCGGCTGTTTTTGTCTCTACCAACAACAACAACAGCAACAACAACAACAACAACAACCACGACGACAACAACAACAGCAGCAGCAGCAGCAACAGCAACAGCAACAGCAACAGCAGAGCTGACTCAACTGGATGATCAGTTCAGTATCCCTTCAGAATGATCTTCCACTCCATTCTGAATGTATCTGAATCATTCTGAATCTCATTCCTTGGGTCGTCTCTTCTATCCAGCCACCTCCTCTCGCACCTCCTCTCCGCGGGGACTCCGAGCGGCTCGCCTGGCCGAAGCCTTCGAAGCTGCCGATCTTGCGCAGGCGGAAGGGCCAGCCGTTCACGCCTCGGAGATGGGCCAGGCGTCCAAGACTGCCAGCCATCGTTCAGCAGGGCGGGAGGAATGACATATACATGACTATCATAATATCATGTTTAAAGATGTCATGATCATAGAAGCAAGGGTTGCTGTTCTTTAGATTTCTTGACCACAATGATCCACAATGTGTTTTTCTTGAAGAATTCAGCAGCTGGAATGGTCGCGGTGGATGAATGCCCTGCAAAACAGCAAGCAGCACGGCTGCTTGACGCTTGCTCTGTATGTCTAAAAGCATCTAAAAGCCAATCGCTCCATTGCCCAAAATTACTCGACGTTTCAGCGATTTCTCAAAGAAGTGGTTGCAGTGGCTTCTCCATGGTTTGTAGGATGTGGGACTGGGGACCATGATTAATGGAAGTCTGAGCAGCTAAAGCAATCACTGTCTTTAAGTAGTTGAGTGGTTCCTGAAGACTGACACCGGCACTCGCTTCCCGACATGAAACAGCTAGCTACATCTGGCTAGCTGGCGGCCATCCGGCATGCCGAACCGATCCGAAAGCGTCTTCACCATGTGCTGAGGTGTCTGACGCAGAATGCAGGGATAGTAACCTCAGCGGCACGGCTCCGCAGCGCAGGCAGCAGGAGATCGGCTCGCGCGGTTGCAGCGGTTCCCAGGAGGACAGCTGGTGTGGTGGGCTGAGGAGAGGTGTACTTCAGGGGGTCAAAGAGGTTCAAGACAATATTATAGAGATCACCGCCGTTGAGGTACCCAAATATCCCAAACACCAAGCAAAAGCGCAACGACTTGAAGATTCATGTGATTGAAAAGCGATCATAGGCATTCATAAGCTATCATCTATAAGCATCTATAAGCTATAACACACCTCCCATCAACGCGCACCTGTTTCCCTCCGTCCCGGGTTGTTTCTCACTCGCCAGGGGAACCCCAGGTGGGATTGCCCGAGTAGTCCGCGATGCGGATCTCCGCCTGGCGAGACATGTCGCAACGACGGAGGACGGTGGTGTCCACACAGGCCACGCAGGCCGCGTTTTCAAAGTTGCAGGTTGCAGGTTGCAGGTCAGTTCTCCTCCTTTTGAATTAGAACATACGCAGTATTTCAACACCTCAGGTTGCAGGTCAAAGTCCAAATTTGAACATGAAATGTTGGCCACCCTTCACGATGTGTCTGAAACAGCCGCAGCCTCTACATCACCCACTGGCATGACCTTCTCAGAGAACTCCTGCAGAATCAAACACAGGCTGTCAGGCCTGATTGGGAAGACGAAACTTAACTAACATGCATGGTTGGTTCCAACAAAACGACGTAAAACACCACGTATTAAACATGCCGACCTGCTATGCTGACAGTTTGTGGTGAGTTTTTGGCACTTGCTCACAATGGTTTATAGCATCGGCAGTTCCCAAGCCATAAACTTCAGGAGCCACAGGAGTCGTCCTCTGCATTCAAACCCATGTGGAGGACGTTGTTGTCCCAAAAGCGTCGCGCCTGCGAGACGAGACGTGTTGCCCTCTTTAGCTGAGTTGGACACCCCAGCAGAAGACCTTACCAGATGCGGAGATCGTGCACTCAGGAACTAGTCCCACCATGTCCCACCTGTGCCAAGAAGGTATTTCAGAGGTCAGTTGAACCATCCAGGGGGCTCTGTCATATGGCTGTAGGTCAAAACCACGATACCAGGGTTGACCTAGCTGGAAGGTCAAACTACATGTGGTGGACCAGGTCTCCATGTGGTGACCTTGTCTCGTATGTTATGCCGAATCTTGCAATCTACACGCCGTTGGTGGAGCTTTCCAGGCACCACCAGTGCTCTCTTGACCCCAGAACCGGCTCCCACCTGTGCTAGCGGCACGTTGTGATTGTCGCGTTTCGGAATATAGTCTTGGAGTGGAAAATTCCACTGGCATTCCTCGTGGCAAAGGAGCTGCTTGCAATAGGTAGGGCAGGTTAGGCGGATCTTCAACCAAAGGATTTTGCATAGACAGTTGATGACAAAGGTAGAGTACAATTTGTTCATATTTGTTCATTAATTTGACGTAAAGTAAAATCGCTGAGGCGGAAGCGCGAACTCCTTCATATTGCATGCATTCTACCTGAAGGGCGGACAAGTCTTCATGCAAACCTTGGCAGGGTTTCATTTACATCCAGAAAAGTTGGCTTAGTTAGTAAGCCACCAAAAATCACTGGCTTGGGCTTTGGGACATCCTGCACTTTTATGGGTTGAACTTGTTGATCCGATCCGATTGGCCTCAGACCGGAAGAGAAGCCGAGCCGCTTCACAGGCACCACTCACCACCGAAAACCTAACACTCAGCCGACTGAGCCGGCCGTGAGCCGGAAGTTCTTCTTCGGCAAGCTTGCAGTATTGCACAGATCCTCAGCATACGGTTGACGGTGGCAGATGGAGGACCGCTCTGTGAATGAAGCTGCCACGTGACACTGTGACACTCGTGATGCTTTGAAATGCGCTGCGAAGCCAGACTTGTCGTCGAACATGAGAAAGAGAGTAGTGATTATACCAGCAGTTCCATGGAGGACAGGGTGCTATCCATGGAGGTAGGAGGTAGGGGTGCCCCTGTAAACATTCCATGGCCCCTGGATGGGACGAGCCACACCACCCCAAAATCCATGTGATTTCTGGTATACTGAGTTTCAAGAGTATTTGGTTGTGGGTCCCTCGAGGCTTTGAAAGAAAGCAACACTTTGGTGGGGAAGCAATAGCAACTCAACAGTTGCACCAAAATGAGAGGCCCACGGTCCATACATCTCATCTTTCAAGGAACATCTGAATCTGGCTCGGATTCTGGTACCTTCCAATCTTGCCGGCATGGATGCCCGTTTGATTGGTTGCTCAAACTCAGACCGTTTGATCAAGGACTGCACATGTCTTGCAGCTGTGAAGGTCACATATTGCTCGCTCAGCCTGTGGCACGCGGGCGGAGCGAGTTTCGCGATGCGCGCGCGACCACCCAACCGGCCGTAGACTCCAGCACTTGTTGTCCACTGCTCTAGGTTCATGTGGTTTCTTCCCATTTTGGCCTGTAGACTCTGGTGAGATCTCGCAGTCATCACACTACGCGACGCCATGGACGCGCTGCCACCAACTGACTTCTGGTTGCCACTTTTGCCAAACACGCCGTTGCTAAGCCTCACAGGCATTTGTCGTCAGCCTGTGGTTTCACCACAAGAAAATGGTTTCCGGGGCTCCACCAAGTTATTGGAGGTGGCAAAGAAGATTCACCCATCCGAGTTGGTCTCTTCTTGCGGCGCTGAACGTTCACCCCACCGTTCCCCCTCGAACCCCTCCGTTCTGCGCGCTCAAACACTCTCCCGCCGTGAACTCTTCCGTGCACCTCTTGTCGCTGTTCAGCGCTGCCAGGCTGGCGAAGAAATCACCATTGTCGCCCTGAGGATCAGAGCTAAGTGGAAACCCTCCACGGCAGGCGCTGTGCCAAATCCACATGAGCCAGCTGGCTCAATGACTGAGCACCAGGAGAATGAGAACATCTTAGGTTCGTTGCAAAAGCGAAAAGGACAAAAACTCGCCTCCTTCGAGTTCTTCTCACTCAAGATGGACAGTGGTGGAAAGTTTGACCTCACAGGCAGCATCACTCTTTGCGCGCGAGACCGGATCGGATATATGGAGCCTGCCATCGTTTCGCAGCGTTAACATGTAAAAACACACATTTTTTTGGAGTCCATAGAAGTATGTCAAACACACCGGCTCTCAACCTTGAAAAACACTGCTATTTGAACCCCTGCCACCTTCCACACGGTCCGTCTGAAAGCAATGCCATTGTCCAGCCTACCCCTACCACTACAGCTCCCTGTTTGTCAGGTTCCAATCCACACCTTCTGCATGAAGAGCTTGATTCAACATCGATTCAACACCTAGGGACTCAATTAGTAACCTGTTGTCAACCCAAAGAATGACATGAAGGGCCTGGAACCACTTCTTCTCAAGAATCACCTCCCCCCTATCGGAATCACACTATAGAAAGAACATACTCACTCTCACACCTGAAACATTCTCCATCACCAGCCTCTCCATCCACTTCATTTTCACAAGCACCCATCGTACCACCCGCCACGCTCCTTGAGAAAAAAGAACTTAAGCTCAATAGAACTCAATCCTATCCTACGCACGCGTTCCGCACACACGCCTTCGCCTTCGCTCTAAGGTGTCCAGCCAAAGCAAAGAGTTCCACCAGAGAGGACCTCCAAGTGGACGAGCCAAGTCCAACTCCCCACAGAAGTCTTCCAGCCTCACGCCATCGAAGGCGCCAGTTCTAACCGTGTCGTTCTTGAAATGGGGCGATGGGATCGTCGAATGGAAGGTTCCCCGTTCGAACCAGGTTCCGGTTTGTGCGACGATGAGGTTGGGGATGAGGTTGGATCATCGGATCGATATGCTTTTTGGGGGGAATAAGCAGGCAAATGATGTCGTGTCAAGTCCATTTCCCATGTGTCCCAGCCATCTCGGGCAGCCATGATGATGAGTCCGTTGATGGACAGTCCGTCGCCCTTGTGGATTTCCAGTCATCGAATCACACTGGTTCTTTCCGCGGTCCACCTTTTGAAGGTGAGACCACAGAACAGTGTGATCGATTCTCCCTGAGATCATGCCCATGTGAGAATCCTCCACCATCTGCTGGGGGCCATCACACCGGACGCCGGACGTCGTCGTCGACCCCCGAGGACCCGTGATGAAGGTGCAACGATGGAGCGAGAGCGAGACGTCATACCGTCAAAACGACCCTTTGAAGGCATTTGGGAGGACTGTCCAACGGTCATACCGCCAGTTCATCATGCACTTCTTGAGTTGTTTAGTTCAGTCTTCACAGACATACGATCAGCCGACGATCAGCCGACAAACTCATGTCATGACAAGCCATCCTCTCTATCAAAGCATCCTCCTTGTTGGCCAAACTTCATGCCCTTGACTCCAAACACCACTTCTTAGTCGGTCCCACCAACGTAATCCCACCCTCAATCCAACCAAAAGCAGAGGGTGGAGTATGGTTGCATACCCTCTGCCTCCGCCTCACCCAGATGGAAGTAGAAATGGTCCCTTGGAAGCCGACGTTCCTTTGCGAACAGGGGGTGTTCACGAAACCATGTGATCCTGTTCGTCGAGGTGGGCTTGCCGCCCTGGGACTCCCCACTTGTGTGGTATCTCTTCGGACAAGATCTGCGGTCCGCCTGTCTCCGCGTTCGAATTGTGCGGTGCCTTACAGCCTCTAACTCTGAAATCTCAAGGATTCATTTAAAAAAAAACACACTCGCCAATGATGACCAGGAGAAGGAAGAAAAGGCATCAAAAAGAAAGCAGCTGGCACACTGGCCCTGCTTCAGCTTTAGATCTAACAGCTGCCAGCTTGCCCAAGCCCTTCCAAATTTGTTCAAGCTTAACTCGCCAAGCAAAAACCACACATACAGCAAGTCTTCAGTGATCATGTGCGCAGGTCAGCACATATTATTGTTGGCAATTCACTGCTCACTACTACTGTACTACTACTACTACTACTACTACTACTACTACTACTACTACCACCACCACCACCACCACCACCACCACCACCACCACCAGAGGTTTGATGGTTTTGTTGCTGGTTCTTGGTAGTTTGCTCTGCAAGGAAGTGTGTCCCTTCATACCAAGTGTATTAGTGGTTGTTTTTGCTTGCAGTAATTTGTTTGGATGTTGCTTTTTCCTGATGTATCCTGATGTATTGATGCAAATGTGTTTTATGTTAGTCGGTGTTTTAATGGTTTTATGTTACACGTGTTTTGCTTCCGCCAGTGTGTCTTGTGTTTTTGTGTGTTTGTTGTGCATGTTGTTTTTGCTTGTTTGTGTGTGTGTGTTTCGCTATGGTCTGCTTGTGTGCTTGTCTTTTTGTGGCCAATTCAGCTGTGCGCATGTTTTTTGCTTAATTTGCCTTCATGTCCATGGGTCACCATGGAGAGAAATCCGAGTTCGATTCGCAACAGCTCATGGGAAGCTCACCCAGTACAAAGCGGCTTTGTTTGGGAATCGAAGTTTCCCAAAGGAAAAGAAAATACAACTCTTTGACTCCTTGGTTTTGTCTGCGCTTATGTACAATCTTGTGATTTGGAAACCGTTTACAAAAGTTGCGCAGCAAAACTTTGAGAGGAAATTTTGGGTTTGGTTCGTCGAGTGGCATTCATGCATTATGGTATCAAGGTAAAAGAGTGGGATACTAGTGAGGTCTGCGGAACTTTAGGAGTCTTGCCTCCGCTCCAGCAACTCTACATTGCCAAATTGCGATACCTACAGCAACTGATTCACACAGCAAACGAGCCGGTATGGGCTTTTTTACAGCAATCTCCTTGTTGGTGGCGACAAATGGATGATGCTGTACGGTGGCTCCAACAACAGAGAAGGTTTCCCCTCGAGCATGGCACTTTGCTCTCTGATTGGGAAACATGGTTTGACTTCATCAGAGCCTCAGCCTCTAGGTGGAAGAGAATCCTTGGCAACGCTGCTAAGCATGCGGCCGAACAGATCCAACTTGTGATTGCATGGCGAAAATGGCATGTACAGGTGGTTGAGATTCTCTCCACAGGTGGCGGATTGGCTCTTCCTTTCCATACCCTTGATGTAGATACATCCCATTTTTGCGTTCGGTGTACGCAAGCCTTTGCCACCAAGGCGGCATGGGCTGTCCATGCGTTCAAAGTGCACCATCGTGCTACACCGGCACGAATGGTGGCGACAGGCTGTTCCAAGTTTGCATGAAACAGTACACTTCACATGTCTCACTTATACATCACCTGACCCACAGCAAACAGTGTTTTCGGGAACTCCGTCAACGCGCTGGGACTGTTACAAGGGAGCCAGGACTCGTCGACAAAAACCATCAGTCCCGTCCGAACCATCCACCGCTTGAGTCGCTTGAGGGTCTGTTGTTGGAATCACTGGTCCCAAGGCTCGTTTTCTGGATGAACAGCAATTATTGTGGACTGAATGGAGTGAAAGCTTTGAGAGCCTTTCCTCAGATTCTTTGCAGACTGCCTTGCAAACAATCAAAGAGGTCACGAGCAAGACAACGATACACCCTGATGATGTCAAAGAATTATTTGAGCGCTGGATCGGCATGATGACCATACAGCGCGCAACTTTGACTGGCAAGCATTGGCGGGCGCATTCACGAGCAAAAATGATTTCAGGCAATAAGCCGTTTGAAGTGCTGGAGCAGTGGAGTCAGGACACCTTGCAGGCGCAGACAGTGTAGCGGCCATTGGCCTACAGACCGCTCATGGTTGCACATCTATTTTCGGGTCATAGAAGAGACCAAGACCTGCAAAGTTATCTTGAAAAGCTGAGTTTCGGCGACCACAAGCTAGTCATCCTGAGCGTGGATATAGTTGTTTCAGAAGAACTTGGGAATTTGGCTTAGGACTCCTGGTAGTAGCAGGATGTGGACCACCATGTGAAACCTGGTCAAGGGCCCGCTTACATGGTGAGCAGGACGGTGGACCAATGATCCTGCGAGATGCGGCTTCCCTGCATGGACTCCCACAGCTGCGACCGTGTCAGTTTGAGCAAATCCTGACTGGCAACTTGCTGTTGGGGATTGCAGTGACGCTGGCATGCCTGGCGCTTGTACACGGGGCTTTCTTTTTCACATCACATCCTCGATGTCCGCCTGAGGAGCATGCCGCCTCAATTTGGCGGCTACCAGTGCTTAAGTTCCTTCTTTCTCAGCAAAGAGTTGCGCTTTTCAATATATGGCAAGGCCAATTTGGGGCGCCAAGCCCCAAGCCGACGTCCTTTCTGTGCAACCCGCCCTCAACTGTTGAGCAAAACCTCGCAAAGCCTCCCCAAAACGGGCTTCATCGATCGAAATGACCAGGGAGAGTGGTTGACTTCTCGTTTGAAGGAGTATCCCCCAGCACTAACGAACGGGTGTTGAGTGATCCACGACTACTTGCTGGAAAGAGGATCATCTTCCGCTCTAGTTGACTTTCCAGTAGAATGGGAACCGCTCCTGGAGGCCTTATCTGTTCCACTTCCCAACTCGGCCGGGGCCGGACTTCCATCCAATTAGGTGCATGCACACTAGGCTACCGGCAAGACCGCACAGCTGAGAGGAGTAAAAAGAAGTGCTTAATTTGCATTCCAAAGCTTCCTTTGGTGACTTGGTTTTTGTGCCTTTTTTGTGCATTCTTTGCGGCATTAGTGTGTTTCATGTGGTTTGCCTTGTTTGTGCCTTTTAATGTTTTGCAGCGTCCATGTATATGCTTCAACTCGCAGGGTCCACGCTCGGCAGGGTCTGTCGGTCCAGAGCGGTCTTGGAAGGGGCCGACCAAGAGACGAGGTTCACCGGGAAAAGACAGGGAACATGGTGGAAGAATGGTGATCTCAGTGGGTTGCGCACAAATGGACATCCAGCGCAATCCAGCGCTGGACATCCTGACTAATGATACTATAATGGGGAGATCGCAAGCAAGAGTGCACACTGCAGACTGCGGCCCATCTGCCTGCAACCGCCATGGCAAAGAAACCCGCTGAGCAAATTCCGAAAATGAAACGATCCACGATGGCGTGTTCAGCCAAGTTGAACGGATCAGATTTGCATGCTGTTTTTGGTAATTGCTCAAAACGCTCTCTGCTTCCCTATAGTGGTTGTCAGCTGCACTGAAGGTTGTCACTCTCGTTGGTACTCTCTTTGAGTGGTTAGTAAACATTGTGGAATAAAGGCATCCAGAGTGCATAGTCTACAAAGTACATCTGCGAGCCTGTGCAAAAACAATGTCGCAGTTCTGCTTCTGTGTCACAAGCAGAAAACAAATGGGGTGATGCAAATCTGGCTCCTCCTCACTATATCAAGGAAAGCGAGCTTTTGCAGGCTGCGCAAGGGGTGTATTCTCCTAAAAACAATGAAAATGGCTAGTTGTCCCGCCCAGAAGCAATCTCGGCTGACACAAGCAGCAACTTCCACTCCCCTCAGCATTGGAACCCTTTTCACCGTCTGCGAATATCAAGCACAGCCAGTTCTGCAATTCCTCCACCGTGTAAAACTCGCTGGGGCATCGCTGGCTTCCTGACCAGACCGAAAGAGAATCCATGTAAAACATGTAAATGCAACCAACTGTTGTCATGTTTTGTTCGATTCAAGTGACAATCTCTGGACAATGACTTGTATCAACAAAAATACATATTTATTATTCATGTGTCTAAGATGCAATGCAGTTCACTCTCATCATTCATAAAGCGTTGCATGGCAAATGGAAGCTTGTGAAGAAAACAGCTTGTTGCCCAAAGCACGTGCATCACATGGACACGGAGCAGCTCCGGATTCTCAAAAAGATCTCCGATGTTCCTGGACACCCGGCGGTTTCTGGTGGCCAAGTGTCTAGAAGTTGCGCATCTTTGGGATCCAGGTGGAAATCCAGATCCAAGTCCTCTCGAATGTGCTGCTCCTGAGGTTTTTTTCACACGAGACCGGATGCTCGACTTCGTTACCAGGAGGACGAACCGGAGTGACCAACCCCGAGGTCTCAGAGTCACCGAAACTCGGTTTCAAGGAGCATCACTGTAGACTCTTGATTCATTTTAACAACCAAAAATGGATTATAAAGCCTCTTCTGAAGATCAATCAGTCTGTAGAAGATCAATCAAATGGATTAGTAGAAGATCAATCAGTCTGTACATGGAGACAATCACATACTCTGATTCATCTCATCCGGATGAACACACAGCTTCGAATCGAAGTCTTCCATCCGCTTCCCTAAACCCTTAAGGACAGATGCCTTAAACATGCCTGTTTTTCCTCACCCGGTGTCACCGGGGGTTGCCGTGAAGGTCAACGTCGACGTCTGCCGTGTGGTGCGGTCTTCTTCGGCCGCGGGACGGAGTTGGTTCCGGGGATCACGGCGATGCCCTGATCCAGTGCCCAGCGCAACAAGACCTCGTTCGATGCGCGCATGGAGAAGGAGGACGAAGGAGGCAGTGATTTGGGGTGTCTTTGGGGTGGATTCTGCCTCCAGGCCACTCGGATAGAAAACTTTCGGATCTACAGCAAGGTGCTGCGGGGTTGTAGATGGGGCAATCCCGGATTGATTGAAACCCAAATGTGGCAGGGCAAGAGCATTGAAACATGGAGCTATCATCAAAATGTGCAACATGTCTTTCTTCTGCACCTGTGCGTTGGTCCGGCCATACTTCGCCGCGACCTTCGATACAACCTGGCTGAGAACAGGCGGAGTGGGAAACAAACACAGCATGTTTGGTATGTCTTAAGATTGCCTTTTGGAGGGCTCAATACTTGGAGGTGGACTGAAACCCTGAGTCTGGTCTGTGTAGGGTACATGCACCCACAATCACAAATGCCTGACAACTCCCTCCCAAAAACACACCATCTTGAAAGTAATCAATTGCCCACAGTCAGTCAAACCAAGAATTTTGTTCCTCTATTGTGCGCAGCACTCCAATGCGTGAAGTACAGTCTCCAGATCCAACAGCATCCAATGCGAACGCGCCGATGGCGCGCAAGTTCGTGCGCGAAGCGCGGCGACGACTCGGCGACGACGCGCGGCCTCTCCCCGTGCTTGGTTGGTGGAACCACCTGTGGAGCACGGTATACTCTGAGGGAGACGAGCAAAAGACGCTCAGATGGTCCCAGGTCCTTTCTGTAGGAATCTGTAAGTATGAGTAATTACTTCATCTAACCTCGGAAAAACCGAGAAGAAACCACATCAAGAAGACGTGGATCGAAAACTGAGACCGGATGCGAATGAACTGATCATGGTGGAAACGTCATTCCTATATATATATTCGCTACTAGTAACAAGTGCCTTACTAGTAGTAACAAGAATATACCTATCTCCATCCCGCATCCTCTCGGACCGAAACATCCGCCCTGCAACAGACCGCACCAGATCTGTGCGCACCAGATTCTGGCCTAAAGATCCATAGGCAGTGACTACAATGCCCTGGCTCTGGCACCATCTCACCAGGTCTTTGGTTTCACTCGGCACCTGGATCGGCAGATCACGTGTAGTGGCGGGGCAGTGGCGTGGCGCCACGCGCTCACAGAATCCGTGTGAAAAACACGGGCAGGTTTTAGGCTTTAGGGTTTCGAGTGAGTTCCCGGTCTTTGAAATGTGCTTTTTGGTCCAACTACTCAACCCAAACCGGGCCAAACCGGGCCAAACCGGGCCACTGCTCAAACCGGGTGGGTCAACGGGTACCTTCAGCTGGAGAAGGTGGGTGCCTTGAGCAATGAGTTGATATTTCAGACTGAGACCGTCCCGCCGAGAGCACCCAAGGGTGATACTCCAGCTGATTCACGGCGGGCACCACTTTTGTCTTGGCGATGAGCTGCTCCACTTCCTCCTGAGAGCTCTGTCACCAGTGGAAGAACATGACTTTAGGTATATCGGTATATCCCATGACCAGGGCCCAGTGGATGATGGTTCAGTTGCTGGCCGACATCTCAAAAACCAGTGATGTTCTCTTTTACCAGCTGCTACTGGTAATGGGCTATACCCTAACTAATCATACTAAATCATACTAAATCCATCTCTGAAATCCAGGATCGACATGAGACACTGCTTGCAAAACAACGTAGAAAACCACAGCTAACCGCGGATCGCAGCGGATGGTGTTTCGGTGTTTCCGCCTGTGGGTTCAGTGTCAACATGTTTCAATCCAAAGGCGTAACCCGACCTACTGAGTCCAACACGACCTACTGACCATCCGCGACAGAAGTCTACGGTCGAGTCGAGTCGGCGAGTCTACGACGACCAAGCTGGCCCGGTTGTGGTTGGACAGGCCAATGCTTCGAGCTTGTCCCGCCTGGCCAGTCTTGGGGCCCAATGATGGTACCAGTATATGGCCAAGAATAAATAGAATAGACTACCTGGGAGGTCTGAGGTCAACCTAATTACCCTGGTTTCGGGCTCCGGGTTTTGACCCACTGCCATATATAATATATATATATATGATCAAAGATGATCAACCCAGCGGAAATGGTCGACCTGGCTGGCTCTGCACCATGACGAGCACCCCCCCACACACTCAGGACTGAAGGACTCCGGATCCAGACCCAAGTCTTTGAAGTGATAGACCCTTTGCTTAATGCTCAACCATGTATCAAAAAAGTGTCAAGAAGTCATAAACAACAAATCAAGTGGGCATGTTAGCGATGTTGAATGCCTCAACATGTGCCCACCAATCGAACAGTCTATGTGTGTGTGTGTGTGCGTCCTTTCTTCCCAGCATTCCACCGCCTTCTGCGCGGCAATGAGGCCCCGCCAGAGCGCTTCGTCGCGGTCAGGAAGGATGCCCCAGCCATCGCCCCCGTGCAGAAGCATCAAGTCCTCGGTTTGATCGGCAGACTCAGAAGACAACAAATGTGTAAACTTAACAGAAAAGGATGGTGAACAGAGTGATGCCATCTGGAGGTGCCACCGAGTGATACCATCTGGAGGTGCCACTGGTAGTCAAGAGGGATATGATACTGGATATGATATGATTAAAATACAGTAGAAAATTTTTGCATGAGCCATGAAGTCGCGGAATTACGTTACGAGGGCTTGCCCAATTGAGCACTGCTGCCAAGGATCCACATACTTGGTGTCCAGCTGTCGCAAGGTTGTGTCCACAGCCTCTGCAGAAAGTGCAAAAAGTGCAAAACGATGAAAAAACAATAATATCCAAACTCATGCTTTGGTGAATTGCCGTTTCATGCTTCTTCCGTAAAACAAAGTGTTGGCTTCGCCATGTTTCGCCTGTGTCACCAGGAGAAATCCTCTAATCATTTACGAAGGGACGGTGTGGCTGGGACTGGCCCGTCCTTGGTGAGCTCAAAACAAAACAAACGATGTTTTAAGAGAACACCGAGAATTGGGGTGAGTGGAATGAACCGGCAAACAGTTCATTGTCATTTAGAGATGAAATACAGGATATGGTGGTGTTCTGTTATTCTTGTCTCATGCATATAACTGCAGGTTCATCTGGCTTGATTTGGAGGGGATCTAGCAAGGTTACGTTGGGTCGCTTTGTGTTTAATAGTCATGAATCATGGATACATCGTACCCTAGAACTTGAGTGGCACTGATATTGGAGTGCTGAGATAAGGACGCTGCACACTATTCCGATCAAACCGAGATCAAACTGGCTCTACAAAGGGTGGAGGAAACCACTGAATCAAAAGAAAAGGAAACCTGGAGCAAACACTCAGGTCGGCCTTCAAAACATCCTCTGGAGTGTTGCAGCTCTGCACTCGTACTTTGGAGGTAATCCACAGCTCCTCACGCTTCACACCACTCTGGCGAATCGCCTGGCAGAAGCACAGCTCATGCACCACTGCGCAAGAGCATTGCGTGAGGTTGGTTCGTTCGAACGCTTCGATCGAAGAACGCTTCGGGAAGGCCACGACGAGACCGGACCTCATGGCCTCGTCACCGATGTTCACATCGAAAGCTGCCAGCCAGCAGTTCCATTCAGAAGTCTTGCAAGCGAAACTTGATACAGTCCGTGGCTCTGTGGCTGCAACCTTCAGTCTCTTTTTAGGATTCGTACAAAAACTCCTGCTCGCACACAGCGAACGAATCCCCACCTGTTTCAACTGTGAAAACAGAGCGGCCCGCCTCAGCAATATCCTCGTGATTGCCATAAATCTGTGCCGTCCGTGTCAATCAGCCTGGAATCTGAAGAGACGGCGGAACTTGGCCCCTCGAAAGAGGCGCAAGATTAAAGCAATGCTTAATTGGTCTAAAATTCTTTTAAAAAAATATATTGAAGCCACCAGAAGCACAGTAACTATCTATATGACAAAATTAAGAAATACAAGCAACGTAACATATTAATATCATGGCAACGTCGTTTGTCCTCATTTTCAACCAGGTAATAGTCCATTTGTGTTACGCGTAGCGCTCCGTTCCGAAAGATAAGAGTGTCTTAACCAGATGGTGCGCTGATCGCGTCGGAGGCGCCTACCCCCAGCGGCAAGATAGGCTTTGACACCTTCCACCAACTCCTAAGGCATTTGTGACGTGTGAAGAAAGGCCGGTGATGGTGTGATGATTCGGTCGGTTCATTCGATCGATCCGGAGCCCAAGATGGGAGTTTTAATCATCTACAACTGGTCAATCAGCGACGTTTCAGGAATGCTGTTTTGAGAAAATGGTGTTTTTTTTGCATTGAAAGTCGACATTGAATCACTGGTGGACGGCAACTCGACTATTTTTTCGGACCTGGGATTGGCACAAAAGTGGAGTGATTGTGAAATAAAGTCATCAAAGAAGTTGTTTCTGGTCATTCAAAAGATCCAAAGGGAACAGCCAAAGCAACTACGTATCGAAGAAAAATACTACCCTACCAGGACCCCCCAAGGGGTGTCTATTTATAGCCCCTTAGCTGTTAAGGGGTGTCCATTAACCACCCCTTGAAGGCCCTGGTAGCATTGACACTCTTGACTTCCCTAGCATTGACTAACACGATTAGGCAAGCTTCTTCCCCCTTGGCACCAGGACGGCAGCAAGTGCCATAGCCAATCGGCGGCATTGGCTTGGGTGATCCTGCCTGAAGCAAACACTTAAGAGATGGCTGGATATGGGAAGGATTGAGACACAAGTCATGTCCTATGAGTTTTGAGACTCATGACTGGTCCGTAGACCTTTGGGTGTGTCCGACTGTGGGGCGGCCCATCATGCTTCTTTCTTTGAAGAGTGCTTGGAGGACACATCGATGTTCGATCGAACACGTTGGGTCCTTTTTTTGGTGGTTATGAATATTTAAATAAACCCTAGAAGTCCAGTTCGACTATTTTTTGACCGGCTGAAGTAAAGGAAGTTCCCCAACTCAGTTCCCCTAAAGACCATTCTTTTATAGTCTTTGACTCCCAGGGTAAATCTAAAAGAGTGCAAAATAAGGCCACGGGTTCCGGAGGTTGTAGTCAATCTGCCTTTATCATTGGGAGACATGTCAGCAAATGTTTGAGCAGCAAAACACTCCAACAGACTAAAGCCACCCCAACAACATCATCTTGGAGGCCCTAAAATCCCACCACGTCCGACATCCAACGAGACCAACTCTGCATAGCTACCACTGGCAGCGGCGTTGGAGCGGCGTTGGCAGGCACGCCCACAGCAGGACTCAAGATGATGGCGCCCAAAAGATGGCGTCGAGGCAGGGCCTTGGTGCCATGTGCGAGTGCAGACCATTTCATGGGTTTTGCTGATTTGCTTCCAAAAAAAACGCAAAGAAAAGAACCGGAAAGTCTATCCAAATCGTTGCTATGGCAGGAGCACATCCTCTCTGAACCACCTTTGGCCTTTTATTGAAGAAGCTTCAACATGGGTGTGAAGCTGACTTATACTGCCCAAACAATCCTTGGTTTGAAGCAGCAAGGTTTGGTGAACACCACCGGTTTCTAAAACTTTCTAAAGGAACAATCGTCTTCCAAGCACGTTCTCGACAAGCATCAGCGTTCTTTGCGCTGCGCAGAGTTGCAAATGTCTGCGGCCTCCATAAGACCTGAGAGCACAAGTCTTCGGCGCGAGATTCCAAAGGCCCCGCCGAAATCCCGGAAAGTGATCTCGGATCAGCGTTGTGAAAATGCCAGGTGAGGCGCTATCAGAAAGGCCACAAGGCGCAAGCTTCGCCGTGCCATGATCAGGGGCAGGGGAAGAAGCGCGTGGCAGGTGTTGAGGGATGTAAGTGGTCGAGTTTCTCCGCCGCTACCCAGCAGAATCAGAACACTTCTGCATCTTGAAGTGTCTTCCTTCATATTCGTACATTAGTAGGTCAGTTAAACAGGTGTCCAAAAGACCATTGATGTCTGATCTTTAAACCATTGGTGAGTGTAACTCCTTCCTCTTCGCCAATTCCTTTGAGCGAAGTTCGGCTTCAGCTGTCCACCTTCACCGATTGCTCGGTGAAGCCTGTGCAGAACCGACCAAGATCCAAAGACCCAAACATCTAACGTTGTGCTGCATTAATAAATACTATAGTCTTACATCACGGAGGAATAGCAACCCTCTGAACCCATGCCTGGCATGCTTCCAAGGAAACGGCGTTGTCGTGTTGTTTCATTTTGTTCCGATCGTTTTGATCAGTTCGGTGATCGTTTTTTCCCTGAACGTTCAAGCCTTCTACCAAGTCGTGAGCTTTCAATCATTTGAGTTTCGGGCTTTCTTCCATCGAACCACCTGATTGAACTAACCCCACAATGCTGGTGGTTGTGGCCAGATCTGGGTGGAGAAGAGGGCAGATCTGGGTTCGGCAAATGCGCGGAGGTTGGAAGGGCATGCACTTGAAACACATCAAAGAATCACCGTACCTCAGACTGCAAGTAGTTCAGTATGCTGATTCGCTACCATCCGCTCATTTTCCAGCCTGCTAGTTTGTCCATGCCAGCCAAAAGCTAGGCTCTCTAAGGTAAGGGTGTGAAAGGTGCCAGAATAAATCCGTGCACATGTGCATCAGCTACAGTAAATTGAAAGCTCCTCGGTAACTGTGGAATCTGCGCTGCTATGTCAGTGTTTCTCTCAGATTCTTTGGTAGCACCCAGCTGCAAATCTGGTACGAGTTCATTCCTCAAACGACAACATGGACTGTTTCAATCTGAGGGCAATTGATTCCCAAAGGCTCAGCAGAAACCCAAGTACATACATAACATTACATAACTGTGTCGGATACATGCTCATGTGGTAAGTGGCTAGGAAGATGAAAGGGCTTACTTTTATGTCTGAAGGACGTAAGATGAGGCACAACCATCCTCAGGTAGCTCCAGAATAGGCGGAAGTTGCAACAAATCTCGGCTTTTTCCATCTAGACTTGACCTTGTCATTTCACACTATGATCCGCTAGACTGCGAGACAGTAGACAGGTGCTGGTGTTTTCTGAGCCAACCTCAGTCTGTTTTGTAACAGCAGAATGTCCACTGCACGCTCGGAGCTTCAAATCAAGTCTGTGCTACCATGCATCATCCTACTCGCACTGGGCGGCTGGAAAATGCACCAGTACGGAAATTGGTCGATCCGGGCGCTAGGAGAATCGGAGAACAGTTGAGCCACCGAGAGAATGGTTCAATCAAACAATTTGACCAAGGGTTGTCCATTTAAGTCTCTCCTTACGGACAAACACCCCCTAGGATGGTACACATGTCGGTGCAAATTTGTCTTTCGAGTCCTGCAAAAGACCGGACGTCTTAGACGCGGGGGGTCAGCGTAGTGAAAAAGATACAGCTATGTAACTCCATGAAACACATTGAAGGAAACATGTCAGAGCCATTCTGAGAGCCATTCTGAGAGCCATTCTGATCACCACCCTGCTTCACTTTGCTCTACCACGTAGTGGGCCACCTAGCTTCGAGCTCGCTTTCGCTTCGCCGCACGTGGGGGAAAAGTGATGCACAGCATCGGTGGTCCGAAGACCAACACAGACAGTGGTCGTTTCACCCACCTTCGGAATGCAGGTGACGGGAGATCCGGACCGGGAGATCCACATGTATTTCGTCCCGGGGGCGGCGACAAAAACCATGGTGCCCTTACTCTCCTCCGTTGGAAGAGGGCTCGTTGGCTCGCCATCGGCTCGCCTCTCTCTCTCTCTCTCTCTTCAGCTTGCGCCCCCACCCACCTCGGCCACTTCGTCCTTCGTGAGGGTCTTCTCGAAACCCGGCATGGACCCTTTGCCGTGCACAATGAGATCGACGTTCTCCTCGAAGGTTTGCAAGGCTTCCACTCCACCACTGTGGCACTCCTCGCAACTGGTGGCCTCGTTGGTTTCAGGCTTCTCCGGCAAACCCGAGGGGTCTTGCTCCCTCGTTGGTCCGGTTGGATTCCCTCAAACTCGCACGTGCAGCTTGCATGGCAAGTTTGTTGTGTTTGCTCCTTGGTTGGCACAGAGCTATAACTGTATCAATAGAATTCTTATAGCCAGTCAACACCTCTCAATTCTTCATGATACCCTTTCAGGATCCAAAAAACAAACGCCGTAGGAATGTCAAGAACTTACAATAAATAAATACCGCGAACAATAAAACAATTGTCCTGTTCCACCCCAGCTTACGTTGCAATAGTGAACTTGCAGCAAAAATCGGTAAAATACTGTTACTACTGTACCATAGTTTCTGTACATCTCTCTCAACTACATTGCAATAGTAGACTTGAGGTCCTGCTTGGCAATCAAAACCTGATCTTTCTAGCAAATCCAGAAAACATACTTCAAGTCCTTAGCATTTCCCTTTCAACTCCGTTCAACTCCTTTCACTTGCCTTTTGATTCTTTCTAATTGTCAGTCCGAGGTGTTATATTGCGGGAGCCTATGATTGCAGCGATGTTTTCGTTTAAGAAAAAGAAATGATTGTTTTTGTAGGGGGCAGGCGGGTGTTTATACTTGCGATGTGCACATGTTTTACAAGAGAGGAAGCCTCAAATAGAACCGATCAAGGGGTTCCCCAATGAACTGCTCCACAATACTTCTGGCTTTCTATTCAACACTCGTTCAGCGGTCCTACAGTATATGGAAAAGAATATTCAAACAACTACAAAAGCAAGGTCTGCAAGCTTCCTACATCAGCCACTCTCCACAATTAGAAACGGTGTCTGACAAGCGACCCGCAACTCTTTCGCGACCCGTCTGGACTGCCCACTGGGCTCTTGTTTGAGTATTGGTCTTCATCGGTCTTGGTGCACAGCCTAAAAACTCAGCTCTCTTGCAAGGGTTTTGATGATTACCGCCCATCTATGGTAGGAGCGATGCAAGCAAAAGGATACTTTCTTCAAGCTTCCTTGGAACTAGGACTCCACCTTTGCGTGTCCTGCTGCGTTGCTGCGCGATGTCCGGCCGAGGGGCAAAGATCTTCGCTCCAGCTTGGTCCGTTCCAGTCAGTTCCTGAGGACAGGGATCTCCATCCGATCTCCAGTGGATACGAAAACGGAGCATGGCTGTGGGACATGGCCATGCGCCAGGAGACCGAACGGTTCAACCATGGCCGGAGACCGTTAGGTTTTGGAGGTCGTGCGCAGACTCCAGGTGCCTTGGTCGGGCTCCGGAGTTTGAACGACCGACGGGGCCGCGGGTGTGTCTCCATCCGATCTCCAGTTCGGAGTGGGCCAAACATGGGGAAAACCCAATGGCCACAAAGGGGGTTCATCGGTGATCCGATTGGCTGGGTCGGACTCTTGCACCGTGAATCGTGTTGCGATTCACCTGGTGCGGCGCTGCGGGAGGTTCCGAGGGGTTCCAAGTGCCGAGTGACTCGCAGCATGAGTTCCTCAGCCATCCTTGAGGAGTACAGAATACCTAGGGCCTTAGGGTGACACTCCAGTTGACCCTGCAATCAATGTTGAAAAGAAAGGAACGTTCACGCCAATCAGCCAAACTAGAACAACAATATATACATCGTCAAAACAACCAACACAACCCCCAAGTTGCACCAACATGTCTTTTCCCCGAAACGAACATGTCCATCCGAAGCAATCCCCCCAAAACAGTTCGGCCGCCGCCACAACCGACTCGTCCTGACCCAGTCCGATCGGTCTAACCCCACAACACGACCCATGCGGATTTGAAGGAACCATCTACAGTGATTCTACAACCAAAACAGGGTTTCCACCGCATGTCCTGTAGATGTTACCTTCAAAGATTTGGAAACCAAGGATCAGCCTTTTCCTGCAATAAGGAGTTGGTCTTCTGGGCTGACCGGGTGGGTAGCAAAGGAATCTTGTGACGTGCCACGATCTCCTGGCAGGGAATAAGATGCGATTAATCACTAGCGGTGGCCTCAAACCTAACTGCGATGGCGATGGCCTCCACCCTAGTAGCGATGGCCTACAACCTGAAAGTGATGGCCTCCAAGAGAAAAAAACTTGCAAATCCTGCCACGTTCCTCCAGCCGAGCAGTTCGGTTGTTGCGCACAGATGGATTGATGAAAGTTGTGGGGTTTTGGATGCTCACTGGCCCATTTGACGAGTTGGCGGGCCATAGAAGTATATGTTTCTACTGGCAGGTGAGCAGCGAATCAAACATGAAAGTATGGAGTGGCTAGTTTGGCTGACGCCAAACAACTGCCGACATTCGAAGGTGACTAATTCCCATGACAGAATGCTCATTTTTTATTAGGCATTGTAGTATATACTATATATAATATACCATATACCTCGAACTCTGGCCACGGGTCACCAGGAGACCGGCACCGGCTTCTCCTTCGGTGCTCGGGTCGGAGTCTGGCACGCGGCGCTCCGTCGCGCGACGTCGGCTGAAAGGTCCTTCTTGTCGTGATCGCTCACGCTGTTCCTGAAGGCCATGGCCGCGTCATAGCACTTCTTCTCCGACTGGTGACGGTCAAATTGGCACGTTTCAGCTTCCGACTGTGGAAGAAATCGAACAAGGAGAAAACATGAGAACGAGCATGGGATCTAAAAAATGGCATGGTATTGATGTTCCAAACAAACCAGAACAAACCGCCAAGCAGTGCCATTTTTTGACAATCTCTGAGTTGCTGCAGCATTTGCTACCCACGATCTGAACAAAAAGTTGTTTGGTCCAGTAGTAAAATAACCATTTGGGTCCTCTGAATTGAACATTTGATGTTTTTCACTCCACCCGACAGCTGAAGGACTGCCTCAGCTGTAAGTCTGTGTGTTTGTGTTTTTGTGTTTGGTTTTTCGTCTTTTCAGGCCGCAAAGTCGCTCAGTACTGTACTGTAACTTGGGAAATGATATCCCATTACACAAAACGACATGAAGGGAGGAGCACTGAAACGACATGCGTATTTTCGGCTGAAGCACGCAAGCAAGCCTGTTCAAGACTCAAAAGGATTCAGAACATAGCTGCAAGATCTGCAAGTCAGCCAATAGATGTGGTGTATGATGTCATGAAAGTGCTGGATCATTGCGGTGTATCTTTGGAACTCCCAAGTTCCAATGAACACAAAAGCAACAAAACATACCAAGCACAGCACGCTCGCCAGGCCCTCCCCAAGTGTTCACCTCCTTCGCCCTTTTCAGTCCGAAGACCCCGTGGTCGAGACCGTAGTCTCCGGTCGCCGCCCACCCCAGCCCATCCAGTTCTTGCCTGTGCTATCGCCAAAAGATTGGCAGGAACACCCTTGGACTTCGCGTCCGGATGAAGGAATGCTCCTGCCGTCCATCCAAGGGCCGATCGAGCGAATCTCCGACCCGTCGGAAAACGATGGGGAGGACATCACATGCGCGGCGGCGTTGGTTGCTACTAAACTCAAACACAAATAAACACAATATATCTATTTAGAGTATATATGTTTGAGCCCTATCTGGCTCCACGAATACTGATGTTGGACTAATAGAGCATGCCATGGACTCCTGGACTACTTTAGTCAAGACCAAATAAAGTGGTTGCTCACATGGTTGTTGCATGCTTTGTTTGGTTGACCGCAAATCCATACCTAGCTATAGGATGCTATAGGAACATATGGATGAACATATGGATGAACCAAGAAATACAAACTAGAGGTCCTAGACAAATTCATGCCACAACCCTTGCAGCGTTGATATGATATCCAGTCGATTCACTGGTTTCCAGGGTCTTGTGTTGTTTCGTTCAACTCGGATCTTGTGTCCTAGATCTACATTGATCTGCGGTGTGAACATCTCACCGGACCTTGACAAATAAGCCGATAGGCATTATTTTGAGCTTTCTCTGACTTCAACTGCTAGGTTCCAATGAGAAACTGGATCCAAACAACTGCATCTTCTCGAAACTCCTTGTAGTTGTCGATGAACTCTACAAGAAACAGTAAAACAAACTACCCAATGACAAACTACCCAATGATTGCCACCAAATTCATCATGACCCTCCATGCCCCACACATCCCCTGGTGTTTTCATGGTCACTTCTCCTCCTTTCAAGTCCCCCCGTGGATCTTGCCAATCGGCACCACGCGTGGGGTGCTGATTCTGTTCGTGCATCCGCTGTAACACCTCGTGCGCCTTACGGACGGCCCGTCCCGCCCGGAGTCGGCAGTCGGTGGAGGATGCTAGAGGATGCTGGAGGATGCTAGTCGCACTCGGAGCCCGGAACTCACCCTGGTAGCTTGAGGTTGACCAGGTCTACTCGTCGATTCCGCTCAAAGTGGCGGAAAAAATAACAGGTTCCCCGATGCGTCGTGGTCAGAGCATTCCAAGACTCTTTAGTTGAGAATAGGGTGTCTGGGATAGTTGGTAGATGTGCACTGTACAGAAAACATGCAATGTCCATGCCCCACAATCTGAGTTCTTGTCTTCCTTTTGAGACAGACCCCCCAAAAAAATACTGACTTGTGTTCAACGAACTCGCCACTCCCCGCCGCCCTTATGGTAGGAGCGGGTACACGGAAACATGGTTCCCCGTAGACAAACCAATTAAAGGACAATCGTAGGACCAAGAGAGTATCACTCTACGACATCAGGATGCATCCAACAACAACAACAACAACCATTGCAATTGGTCAAGGAAATCGTGGCTTGGAATAACCATATCTAAAGTGCGTACCTCTTGAGCTCTTGACATATGGATTGCTTCAATGACCGGCTTTTCCGTTTTGAATTTTGGATAAGGATGGCAGGGCCCTCCACCGACAGGAAAGCTGGACAAGACTATAATTGGAATATACTTGCGAATAAGGAAAGAGAGAACCTACGGCATGTTTCGGATAAATATGAAATGGAGCGAAGAGCATCTGCTTGAGTCTTTCAGGATCGTTTAGATTTAGGGAGAAGTTGCACTTCATCTGAACAGTATGCATGTGGTAGAGAGGCAGAGAGATACCGGCCGCATCACGTATCCAAACAGGTAAAGGATCTCTTGCAAGGAAATATAAGCAAATGCCCATTCAGAACATGTATTTTTCTTAGAAAGTGGCGCTGCATCCTAGATGGGCAGGATCCCATCAATCAAGATTCTTGAAAGAAATGCCACACCTTGAAGGCAGCCAACACTTCCCAAGAGCTAAAAAAGCACAAAAGCTTCGACAAATCCATAGATGCTTAATCCGCGGGCTTGGGCTTGGAGAGTGGTTTTAGTTCAAGTCCTGAACACTCACGCGAAACCAACTGGCCAGGCCTTCTCGGAAATGATTTTCAGTACATTATCCAGCTCAGCATCGGAGAATTCCTGCAGGGCAGCATGGCATCGGCTCCGCATCTGACATTGGCTCCAGAAAACGCCGAAAACGCCGAACGCGGAGGTTTCTGTGGCGGAGCGGCCTTTTCTCGCTGTTTGGCCGGGATCGCAACGTTCCTCCACTGAAAAAAACGTAGAGCATGGGGGAGTAATCGAGCAAGAACATACGACCTACTCGACAACACATACCGCACGCAAACAATCCATATATAGAATATTTGCCTGATTTTGCTTACATTGGAGGTAGTTGTAAGAATTATATATCTAAGGGTCAATTGTAGGTAAATATTCCATACATGGATAGTAACACATACAAATAAATACCCCGTGGGTCTTGCCCAGAACAACCACCATGTCTTGGTTCTTGGCCAAACCCACCTCTCTCTCTCTCTCTCGCTCGCCACAGCAAAAAAAAACACGTCGAAAGGCTGTTGAGACACCCAAAACATCCCAAAACAGACCTCCAAACCAGCAACAACCTCCCAAAACTACTAGGAGCAATGTTCGCTACTAGGGGCTCCTGGCATCGCCACTAGGAACAAGAAGCTACTAGTAGGGGCTCCTGGCCTTACTACTAGGAGCAATGTTCGCTCCTAGGGGCTCTTCTTCCCAGTCAGTGGTCTTTCCAAGCTTTGGCGATTCCCACGGCTCCTCACAGGGTTTGGCCTTTCCGTAGCTGATGCGCAACAAGTGCTTGTTCAGGAGCTCATTCGATTCTCCTGGATGAAGATGTTCGGAACAACCCAAGTCAACAAGGAACTGTCATTGATTAATAGGGACTCGAAGAACATACGATACATATACGACACATTACGACACATCGAGCATCACCCGGAATTCCCCATGCGGAGTCAGAGGCCGAACCGAGACGAGACGAGAGTCCTGTATGGGCCGCCAGGAACTTCGGTCCGGGCACCACCTTCTTCGCACGTGCCAAGTCCAAAGGCGACAACCCTCGACTTTGCTGTAGTAAGCCCACCTGGTGTCCGAGGTCTCCGACGTCTCCGAGCTGTTGAGAACGACGGTCTCGGGATTAAAACGGCAGCCCCGCGGGCGCCCTGGTGCCAGTGATGTGTTTTTGGGTCGCAACCATCTCCTCTTTGGTCGCACCGTGTTTCCACATCGAAGTGATCGCCATTGGGAGGCCTATTTGGGGTGGCCCAAATAGCAGCTGTGTCCCATGCTGCCTGGAGTGAATTCGTCAGGAATCGGTGGAAGCGGCGATGTGACCGGCCCACCAACGCGGTCCTTACAAAAGGCCCCACAAGCAGCCCATCCTGAAAAAGAAGCCCCATTGACGTGTGTATGTCTCATAGGGAGACAACCTGAGTGGCCAATATGTAGACTGGTCTATGTTCCTTCTTCCAGAAGGTTGAACTGGGAGCTCTCCCGGTTTTTGATGCCAGTGAAACACTGGCCAGTGAAACGCTCTCCCTTCCCTTCGGCCTTAGGTCGCTTTCCCCCGTTCCCAGGTCCCCTCCCGCCTCTGGAGATTCATCGCAGCTTTGTGAAAGTCCAGAGGTTAGCAGGGACCAAAGCAACAGCCCCGCAGCACCAGGTCCCATGGCACGACTCGTCGTCCCACAGGACCGGTGTGTTCAACCCGAGTGAAGGATGAATACGGGAAAGCACAAATCTACCTGGCAAAAGCTGGCCAACTGCCCGGGTCGAACGAAGAAAGCATACACACGGGTGGACGCCCAAAGACTTTGGGGACTTTCGGCCTCACTGATTCGGTTCTGGGAGGTTGTGGGCATCGCATGCGTTTTGCTCAGGAGGCCGCTTTCTCCGAAGGGGCAAAGGTTCCGGGGGGGTCTCCGCTTTCTCCAAGTCGGGCCTTGAGCCGCAGCAAAACACAACGAGGTCAGCCAATGGACGACGACTTTGGACTCGGTTGTTGCGACACCTGAATTACCAGGAGTTCACAAAGGGGTGCCGAACTTGGAGGACAAGGGTGCCCAGCTACTCCACTCACTGGATGGGACCTAAAAATCCCACCCTCTTTGTGACTCCTGGTGCTCACCAGTTGATTGAAGATGATTGAATAACAAGAACAAAATCATGGCCCTCCCAAAGGTTCTCGGTTTTTCAGGTCCCGCTCTAGTCTTGTGCAGGATTCTGAACCACAAATCCACGTCCGCCTTTTTAAACCGAGTGCGGTAGACTTTCAGACTCTTCAGCTCGACCATATCGCAGAACGACGCCACCACTGTTCAACGCTGTTCCACCATGCCATGGCATAGGATGTTCCCGCACACGGTCCAGGTTCTTTGCCATGTTCCAGCACGTCCAGGTTCCAACACCATCCAGCAGTTCCAGAAGTTTCCACTCCGATCTTTTTCGCTCACCGATGGGCCTGCGCCGCCTGAATGGGAGTGCCTCACAGGAGCTGGTATTGATCCTGCGCCTCACGGTCATCTTGAACAAGGCACTCTTTCAAGCACGCGACCACGAGCAAATATCCAGCTGTCTCGATGCACTGCAAAGAAGTGAGAATCACCAACGCCAGCTGGTATGGATTGCTTCCATCTTCTAGGGCAATGCCGAGAACAATGCCGTAGAAAGGAAGAAGTGCAAGTCCAAATCCCAAGATGATCCATGCGTGGCATGCTCTCCTTCCATGCATGGCCCACCAGCTCATACCACTCCAGGTGGGAAGTAGGATGAGACTGGACATCAGAAGCATCCGGCAAGGTTTGGAGAGAGCGGCATCTCCAAAGCCCCAAAGACCGTACCTGATAGGTGGACTCTCAGTCATAAGTCCGGAGGGAGAAATCATGGGCCCATCTTCTCGCTTGCAACCGAACATTTATGACACTTTGTAAGAATTCCGGAGTAGGATGCTCTGTGGGCATGGTTTTTCTGCGATGGCTATCTAGCCAGGCACCACAAAAATTGAACAAAAAGAACATAAAAGAACTGTTGGATCCATCTGCTAGCTGGATGCAGCACCCCTTGGAAGGCCGCAATGATCTGACCATGACACCAAGTCTTCTTCATGAGAAGCCGACTCGTCGCGGCGTCCAGCTCATTCATGGCGTTTGGCTCGGTGTTTAGCCGTGGGACGAGCATGGGACGAGCATGCTGATCATCAGATGGCTGTGAAAACCACCATGCTACCTGGGTTGACCGCCCCAAATGAACAGAATGGACGACTTACAGACAGGAGGTCAACCTACCCTGAAATAACAGGGATCCGGGTTTTGATCGTCAGACGAACGAGGAGGACCATGGAGGACACCATAAGTTCTGGCGCGTCGCCCAACAAAACAGGGCCCCACCGTTCGGTGCGAAGGAGTCGCGACTCGAGAGGCCGAGCCGTTCGAAACCGAAGAACGAACGGCACGGCGTGGGCCGCGCACAGCACCTCGTGAGACGTTCAGATCTTCCAGAACGAGGTTGTGCGACATATTACATTCCCCCATTAAAAAATCACGCGCACACACACACACACTTAGATGGATGCTCGCAAGAGCTAAGTCGGTTGAAGAAGTCCCACTCTAGTGATTACAATACCGGCTTAGAGCGCTGGAACCTGAACCTGTCAATGGCCCTGTGCAAACCGTAGGGTGAAGAAGTCAGCAACAAAAAAGTTTAACATCATCAGTGAAATTGCAGGTGCACATCAGGACGTCTCCCGATGCATCACCAGAGAATGTGGACGTCTTCGTTGGCAGTGTTTCCACAAACTCTGTCACTGCCCCCTGCAGGTGCATGAATTACGCAGTTGAGACCTGAAACACGAAACCTTGGAGACAGGTGTTGACACCCCCCACCCACCCACCCACGCACGCACGCACGCACGCACGCAGGCACGCATGCACGCACGCACTCACGCACTCACGCACGCACGCACTCACGCACGCACAAGCACGCACGCACGCACATCACCGACACTTGAGAAAAAGAACCTCCAAGGAGTTCTTGTGTTCTGGGTGGATCTCGGGGAGCATTAGCACTTTACTTCTACCGCGATTTGGACCGACCTGCAGAACCACAGGTCCAGAGATTTGTATTGTTTAGCACGGGTGAAACCAGAAGCAGAAGGGGTATTAACATGTGGCGTCCCACGTTGCTTCACCACGAGCTGACAGTCTCTTCGTTGGGTAGTGTCTGTCAGTCGTGCACTACCCCCCGACAAAGATCTGTACAAAGAATAAGGTAGAGTAGAATAGCAAAAGGTAAAGGCCCTGGAGACGGGAGGTGACACACGCACACACACACTGACACACTGCACAGGATTCCTGCCAAACGAGTGAATTTGCTGCTGAAGACTCTCCATGGTGGAATTGGAAAGAACAACTGCTGCACTGCTGCATGCTAAGGAACATGCTCCGGCGAGCAGAGTTCGAGCCGGATTTCGCCATGTTTGGTGAGATTCGAAGCCATGTTTTCAGCGGAGAGCCGCAGAGCAAGGTTTGACGACTTCCTGTTGCCTACTTTCAGCGCCAGCACCGACGACATCCGACCCAAGAACACTTCGAGTCCCTCCCGCGCAGGTCTACGCCGCTCTCCAACGTTTGGTTCTTTTCCTTCTTCACCAAGATGAAGTATCGCTTGGTAAAGCGCCCATGACTCCAAAGGCGATCGAAGTAGGAGGATGCCTGTCTCGACGCGAAGGCGAGTTTAAAAAAACGACCTGATGGGTCGAGGAGATTCACTGAGAAGAGTTTTGGTGTGTTGCAGGTCCGGAATTTCTCCAAGTCACAAACGATGTGGGAGCTGTTTGATTCAATCAGATCCGTTGTTCAGAAGTTTCTTCCCGTCGAGAGGTTGGCACAAGATGTGATGCGCATGTATTTTGGGGGTGAGACGCCAAGCTGTTTGAGAATAAGTGAGAAACCACCATGCGTTGTTTTGGGATGTCGGGGCGTTGGACTATAGCTGCCCAGGTTTGCAGAACCAGCCGGACAAGTCTTGGGTTCAGGAAAGAGCGTTGTTAACAGAATCACGAGGTGTTGCAAAACAAACAGGTCGTACCTCCGGCGAAATCTCACGTAAAGCCGGCGTAATCTCCCGATGACTCGGACTCAATGTTTGTAAGCTCTTGTATCTTGAACAGCTTTCTTCAAGAAGAGTTTTGACTCAAACCATGAGTTCTGCTACGTCTGTTAGGGGGGGTCGAGGTCTTGCAGCGAGCCAAAATACATCAAAATTCATCAAAAACAAAACCTTGAGAGCAACCCACTCAAAACACGCGGTTGCAAAGAGAAATGGATTCCTTGCATTTACTTACTCCTAGCTTTGTTCTTGGAAGTCTTGGAGTAGAAGCACATGTTTGCCAAACCCAGTCCCAACCACATCCAGAAATGCATGTTTCCACTGGTCCCAACCATTTGTTATGTAACAGATCTGAAAGATGGGCTAAAATATATCAGGAAGGCGGTTTTAGGCTCGGTTTTCCTCTTCAAAGCCTCTTAAGTGTTGAAATGTGTGTAGAATGAGTGTGCTCCGGAAAAAGAATAGACTACTTGTGCTCCAAGGGCAACTTGCTTGTGCATGATCCAACCTTTCACCATCCCATTTTTTCAGGGATCCGCGGATGATTCTTCAGCTGAAAAAAAAACGCTGGATTGAAATCCGGCACTTCTTCCATCCCAAACATATAACTACAGTCAGCCAGCTCCATCTGTGCAATTCAAACACCTCGATGACTTCGGCCGAATCTCTCCATCTCGGCCCACACCTCGGCCCGCCCCCGCAGCGGGTCGGAAACGTCTCCTCCGGGCCGGCTGCCCCGCCTCGGGATCCACCACCCCGGCGGAACGCCCTGGTTTGCCGCGCCACACCTGGGCAGGTCACGTGTCGATCGGCTGACGCTCCGGACCGATCCAATCGGTGGAAAAGGTGTGGGTGGCAGGTCCTCGTGCGACGCTCGGTGGAACGAGTGAGCAGGTGATGTGAGGTGATACGACTCGGTGGAACGAGGAAGGAAGACTCGGTGATTCTGGACGTAGGCTGCGAAAAAGGTTTTTTGGGATGCCAGGCATGTTGAACAGGGAGACCCCCCCCAAAATCGCGCCCTGGCTGGGAAGACGTAGACTGGACCTAGTTTCCAACCTTCGGAACGCCACGCCTGTGAGGTCGAGACCTGGGAGGTTTTGCCGGTGTTCAAAACAACTAGCGATGGCCACGTAACCTTGTAGCGACGGCTTCCAACCTACTAGCGATGGCTTCCACCCTATACTAGTGATGGCCTCCAACCTCAATGCACTCAAGGAAACTCTTGAGGAATTGGATGACGATGTTGAGACGTCTCTTCTCTCCATCTACACCCCACGATGGCTCGATGGCTGTGGGGCACCCCGGCGTGGATGGAGCTTCCGAGCTTGTCCTGGCCTCGGCAGTTCGAACAAACAGTTGCTGTCAACCCCCTCAAAAGTGCTTTGTTGCTTTCGGAAAAATAGAAGATTCGACGCCTGGCATGATGTCTTGTGCCTGGCTAAACCATCCACCTATCATGGGCAACTAGACGACCCAAAGACATACAAAAACTGAACGGTTTATGCGGCATGCGGCATGCAATGTCAAGAAAAAAGAAGAAAACCGGGCGTGGCTGTTGTTCAGAACGCATGCATCTCAAACCCCTTCATGATCCTTCTAAGGAATCGCAAGTGTATCATGCAACAGAATTGAACTGATTATATACTCAAAACATCTCCGCCATTGACATGCAACGGATGATTTTGTTTCAAATCTTCTCCCACAGCCCCTGGCTTCCGGGGCGCAGGCCACACAGCACTGGTCCCGAGTGGCTGACATCAACCTGGGCGGTGCGAACGGGGCGGTGCTGGGAGTGGTGCCATAAAGCTGAGCTGCTGGGAACTGAAAGCAACAAGAACAAGGTGAACCACCGCACCATCAGAAGAAATGGAACCAAGATTGTATGGTAATCCACACCACCTTTTCCACCCATGTGTTGAAAGCAGCAGGCAATTGAACATCAAGCTTTGGTCACCTTGCAGAACCAGGAGAGCAGAGAGAAACCATTTGTGAGGTCAACGTGGGGTGAGGCCCTAAAAGGGGCGGCAAACTCGGCCACTAGAACTTCTGATTTCAAATCTGGCGAGCGCTCACATCTGGGTGTTTCCTTGGTGTCTTGCCTCTGGCTTTGGATAAAAGCTGGTCTTGCCACATGGCATGCGAAAAAGAACAACTACACCGGCATAAACGCCAAATAGCAACTATACAACTCCCAAAACAAAAGCACCTCTTTTCCTGTTGACCCAGCACACACATTGACATGAAGGCAGGAGGAGTATCGGATTCACGACCACTGGGGAGACAAGGACGCAGTTGCAGCGGTGGACCAAACCGCAAATCAGCCACCCAGTGATTGAGAAGTAGGAACCCCTATAGCTTTCAGCTATCTGGCGAAACACACCTACCAGCACATGCTCCCAGATGTCAGAACCAGATGTTGCGATCATTTCCCTGCAGCTCTGCTAGTTCAAGGCGTCATGTGGACAAGGGTCAGCACCCGACCTGTCAACTGGGGGGTCGCTGCGACCTCCAGCTGCTGCCGGGTCCCACGTCTCAGGCTCCAGGCATTTTCGAAGCCAAGCCCCGAGAGGCTCAAAGCCAATTCTCGGAGATAAGTCACCTGGGTACCGCCCGGTCACGAAATGAAGAAGCTGGGCGAGCCGTGTCCGTGTGGGGGGAACCCCCCGAGACATTCAATCAATTAAATAGTTCTTTTTGCAAACCTTGAAAAACATAGACCTACAAATCTTGAAGGAAGCGGAACAACTGCAAGAAAACAAGAGGATACGGGAGAAGAACCGACAAAAAAACAAGAAAATACCTCACCACCTAATGGGCACTCTCTCTCAGTGTAGACGCCTCTCTGCCATGCTGATGATGCAAAACTTTAGGAGTTTGTTGATCGTTTCTGTTACACTTCGTTACTACATTGTCTATGTTCAATGGATCAAATCCTTCGACCAATAATCTTGCAATACTTAAGATATCTTAATTAAGATACTGTGGGTTACTACTAGGAGCAAGAAGCTACTAGGAACAAAGGGCATCGCTGTTAGGAGCAAGGACGCTACTACGGGCTGCGGGTTTTTTGCGACAGTTTTGGGGGTTTTTTGCAACGGTGAGGTGTGAGGGGTTTTTTTTGCGACGGTGACCGCAGAAAGGGTTTTCTGTGACAGTACTGTCCGCTGGGGTTTTTTTTTGCGACGGTGGGGCGAGGGTTTTTTGCGAGGGAGAGAGAGGTGGCAAGCGTTTGTGGGGTTTTCTGCGACGGTAACCGGGGTTTTTTGCGACGGTAGCGCATGGACGGGGTTTTCTGCAACGGTAAGCGGGGTTTTTTGCGACAGTAAGGGGCTCGAGGCGACGGTACTATAGTAGTACGACGACGACGGCGACGACGACGACTACTACTACTACCACTTCTACTTCTACTTCTTACTACCACTGCTACTACTACTACGACGACTACTACTACTACTACTTCTACTTCTTGCTACTACTACTACTACTACTTCTACTTCTTGCTACTACTACTACTACCACTACTACTACTATACTACTACTACTACTACTACTACTACTACTACTATTACTAGGACTACGACGACGACTACTATACTACTATACTGCTACTACGACCACGACAACCAGTACGACGAATAGTATATTAAGACTACTAACTGCTAGAACGAGTATACTACTCCTTTGATTTCACTTGTACCACCAGACTGCATATCGTGGCACAAGATGTCGGCAATGTGGACAGTTGCAAGTTGACAAGCGTTATCCCTCAGCGCCTCTTGGCTTCCCGCATGCCGCGGTACTGAGCTTCTCTGCCACGGCAAGGCGGACGCTGGGCAGAGAAGAAAAACTGTGCGTACGCAGGCGTCGCACCCCACCCTGGCGATGAGCAGGTAACCTGGCGAGCGCAAACAGCGAGCGACAAAGCAGAACAGAGTGAGCAGAACACTTGGAAACAATGGCGGCCACGCCACGTTAGAAGAAAGACCTGGCAGCCACTCCAATGGAACGAAAGCGCGGGCTACGAGATTGGTACGCTGTCAGCGCTCATACAAGAAGATACCAGAATCGGCGAGAGGACAAAAGAAAAAGCATAGACTTCTTTTTGAGCGTCAGTATATCTCCTGTCAGACACCGCCGCGTCTTTTGCGCGGGGGCGCGTCCGATTTGGTGGGACGACCCGTGCGTTTTCTGCTGCTAGGCAATGCGGTCAGAATCACGGGCGGCTGTGGGAAATTCGGAAGGCCGAGACTGCGAAGAAAAGTGGAATGCTCACATTGTGCATGCATAGCAGCTGCCGGGCAAGAGCATAGAATAGAGGTGGGTCGAACCTTCAAGTACACGACGTGCTCAAAATGAAATTTGAACGACTGTAAGCACAAGTTTCCATCAGGAGTGAACAGGTCAGGCAAGCTCCGGGCACTCAAAGTAGCTGGATGGATCAACACTTGCAAGACTTTCAAAGTAAGGGCACGGTTGAGTGGCGAAACTGCGGCTGCGCTGGCGAAAGCAACCCAGGAACAATCATTGCACTGCTGCAAGACATAGAGGTCGGTAGGGGCCAATTTGGCAAAGTTGGCGGCGCAAGTGCGCCCAGCCCGTGTGAGCGCAGTGCCATTGACCAATTGTGGATCTTGAGTGGGCGGAACAAAGGCCAGCGGGGTGGAAGCTGTCCACGAATACCAACGCTGCCAGTGATCTGTGTACAGCTTTTGCAACACATGAAGCGCATGGCCAATGTTTCCGCTGGTTCAGTTCCCGTTGCCAGGAAGAGTGGATGGCCTCGGCAGGCTCACTGCCACTACCAGATCCTGGCAGAATACCATCAAACCCAACCCAGAAGCTTACAAAGATGATGTCGGGAGAATGGTGGCCTTGGAAGATGGCTGGCATAGGCCGCTCATAGGTCTGCAACCAATCGGCCAGGGTGGGTTCACCGAGACGCCGAAGGGTTGCGAGGAACGCTTTCCACAGCCAACTGAAAAGAGGTAAGGTCGGAACGAAGCGAAGGATGTTGATGACCTCCAAAGCAAAATGCACGTATTTCTTAACAAACTTCCCTTTTCGCGAGACCAGCTGGCATTTTGCTTGCATAGTAGTGTGCGATTTTTCCTTGAAGTGAAAGAAATCGTCACACGGTCGGGAAAGCGGCCAGACATGGCGACGAGCTTCTTCGATGCTCGGGTGGAAATCTTTGTGCAACTGCAAGCTCATCTGCTGCTGTAATGGCTTCTTGTTGGGATGCCTCGCTGTCCAAAGGTCACAACAAGCGTCAAACAAGTTGACATAGTTCGCCTTTGTCTCAGCATAAAAAATTGCTTGCTGACTGTCAAACGGAGCAAAGTCAAAAAGACATATTGCGGGCCTCGGGACATGTCGTGCAGGAATGCGACATTGAGCCAAAACTTGCAGCAGAAGACGTACGCACTTCTGGCAAAAATAAGAGTGCAGCCAACAGTAGCGAGTCACAGAAAAGCAACGACAAGAGACGCCTCTGAGCCCGCGGCCCTTTACCGGGAGGAGCTGTGCTCCCCCCTCCCCCTGGGCCGCTTCAAAGATGGTCAAACAGTTGAAGGGTTTTTTGTTTCCCAGGGGGGGGGCCCTTCCCTTCAACCTCCCATCATGAAGCGGGGGCTGTTCCGGCAGCCCTTCCGAAAACCCGCAGCCTGTCTCAGAAGAAGCCCTGGCGGGACGGACCTTTGTCGCGTTGAAGGAAGAGCGTGCGCATGGTTCCAAACAAAGGCTCTGCGGTGGTCAAACGAGTGGGCGGCAAACGTCGTGAACCATGGATGCTTTGTTGGCTCCACTACCATCAGAAATCCATTGTGTTTGGATGCTAATAACAGGATAATTCTGGATCTTCTACCCACCCTCCCATCAGAAATCCATTGTGTTCTCATGCTAATCACAAGCTAATTCTGGATGCTTTGTTGGCTCCACTACCATGTGTTAAACGTGTTGGTAAAACACATCCATTTGCTACGACTACGACGACTACTACTACTGCTACTATACTACTGCTACTACTACTACTAC